AATTAATGTTGTATGCATGTATCTATCCCGTTTAAGACAGATACATAGGTGTTTACTGAAAATTAGTAAACAAATAGATGTTAGCAAAAATATTAATTTTTTTTCAAGAAAATTTTTACATTTTCCTTTCAAAAATCCAAAATATTTTACAAAATATAAAACATAGACATGTTTTAAATTCAATAAATTTAAAAAATTTACACTTCTTTCATCTTAAAAATCATAACAAGCGGCATAATTTTGAATGAAACTCTTTTTTTGTCTTTAATCAATTTTTCACCAATTTTATGAGTTAATTTTCCACTGTGCGACAATTTAAGTATAGTTTTCGAGATTATATACACACTTCAATTTCCTAGAACATAATTTTTTTCTACATTCCAATCTCCTCCGAGTTATTAACTGTCAAAATTTTAAAAATGTCAAAAAGTCAACTTTTTCTTCAAAACATCAATGAGACTCCATTTAATTGATCTTAAAAGCTATAGTATTTGTCATTATTATATGTAAATCTTTTCAACTTTCCTTCGTAAAATGAAATTTTTAATAAAAACAAAACAAAAATTAAAAATTTTTTTTTTAATTCTGCATTACATTACGTCTCTTTTTTTGTTTTTGTTACTCTTGCTTAATTTTTAAATTGAGAGCATTATGGGAAATTGAAGGTGAATTTTTTTTTCTTTTTCCCTTTAAATAAAATCAACACAAGATTTTCTTTCTTAAATTTTTATGATCTTGATTTTGAATGCTTAACTTTTGTATCTTGGTATGTAAATGTCAAGTTGAAAAATGCCTTAAAGCTAAACAAATTCTTCAATATACAAACATATGTACATAAAATATATATATACAGTCATCTCAAATCTGAAATAGCATGTGCCATTTGATTAAAATTATTGAGTTTTTCTTTATATATTTTTTTCATAAATTTTTTTGTGCAGACAGATTAAGACATTTTAATGACCACTTAACTCTGTTTGCTTATAAAATTCAGTAAGAAGTAGTGTAATGGTCAAAAGGTAATTTCTTTTGTCTTAACTATTGAAATTGGTATAAATTTTTTTTTTTGGTTTTTGTTTGTTTTTTATTCAATAAGCTCACGACACAATGCAAAAAAATAAATAATGACACTTCTTTGATATGCTACTTTTAAAGTACTCGTATTATTGTTTTGGAATTATTTTGTTTTCTTTCTTCTTTAATCAATTTTTCAAAAATAGACCATGAAATTATTAACAAATCTTAAATAATAATATTATAAAAATAAATAAAGTACAGTAAATAATAAAAATATTTCAGAGAATCATTATTTTATTCGAAAAACAAAAATAATAAAGAATTTTTAATGGCATTTCAGGGTTAATTTAAATTCATTTAAAAAATTTATTAAAATAAAAATTAAATACAACAATTGATGTTGCGTGCGATCAATTTTGCCCATTATTATTTGATGTTAGTTACAAAATACAAAATTACTATAAATAAAAATAAAATGTTTTGCTGAAAAAAATTGCAATCTATTTATGTATTTACATAAATATGTACTATCAGATGAATTATCTACAAGTTTTATATTAATTGTTAGGTAATTATAAACATACATCAGACGTCGGCAAAGTACGAACCATAGGAAGTGTGCAATACCAAAATCTTCGATTTCGAAGATCAAAATTTGGAAAATCTTTTTTAAAAAAATTTTAAGAACTCAATCAAAAATAATAGAGATATAGGTACGTAAAATTCCATATACAAATTTATTATTTTTTAAAATAAAACAATCAATAAAATCAGAAATTTTAGACAATATAAGAGAACAAAAACTAAAATTTTGAGATAAATTTCTCATTTGCAAAAAAAAAACAATACAAATAAATACAATTTTACAAAAATTTGCCAGATTTTGATAAATAAATATGATATTTTTATTGTTTTTGAATTTTATTTTTTTATATCTAAGTATAGGTAATGTAAGAAACTTGGCCCATACTCGTACTCACATAGTACACATTTTACCATAACCCACAAAAGTTTGCAGGCCGGTTGATACATGATTATTATTATTATGGAGTTTAAGTATTAAACAAATTACATATATATAATGAGGGTTTTCAATAATTCTGACATTCACTAAAATTTTTAAATCTTAAATCTTTTCACACATGCTTGCAAATGTGCAGAAATTAAACAGTTTATTGCTGCAGATTTTTAACATACTCGAAGAATTCTTCTATATCCAACATTTTTCTATATTATGCTCTTCTTCTAGTTTAACATTTTTGTAGTTATAAAAATAATTTTAAAATTCTTTTAGAATTTATGATTTAAAATAAGACCAGAGGTAGATTATTACTGAATTATCGAAAATCCCCATAATTATTAACCTTTTTGCGGAAGTTTGCTTAACTTCATATCATTAATATAGAGAAAATTTGCATTACTCAACCAGAAGAATGCTAACTTATTTATACAAACAAAAAATTTTACATTTCAAGAAAATTTATTAAAACATTTAACATTATTGCACAGGAATCATAAAATGTTTTGCCAATAATTTTATTGCTAAATAAAAAAAGGTATTAGTCTAATTCTATCCTGAATTTTTTTTTGCCACATCTGAACTGCTACATACAGACACTATGTTATAATGATGAAGACACTATGTTATAATTATATGTTTACTTTGGAGAACTTAAAAAGTTTTGAGATTAGTTTATAGTGTTAAAATATTACATTGTCAGCGAAAACGGATATGTTTACAAAATTTGGGGGTGATTGAACATTTAGAAGTGATGAAAAATTGATTTACAAAATTTGACGCAAATAGACAAATATATATAATATATATATATTATATTTACGTATTTTAACAGATGCTTTCAAACCAGAAATTTCTAAATTTCAAATATCAAAATGGTTTGAAGTGAAAATTAAAATTGTACAGTTTATTACAGAAATTAAAAATAAAATAGAAAAATAAACCAGCACAACTTTCTAATAAAAATATCTGTGCCTTTAACTATAATATGTGATACATAGAGGAATATACTCGTATGTATAAACAAATATAATGTTAACAATATTTATTGAAAATCGCAAGAATATTCCATTTTATAAAATCTGGGTAACGAGTACATTTTCCCTTAAAAGCAATAATAATTGAAGTATGAAAATTAATTAATTTCTGAATTTAAAGGAAAGTAGACAATTTATAAGAATTAAACTATTTTTCTTGCAAGTATATGGGTGAAACGTATAATACAAAAAGAAAAGTTATTAAAATATAGAAGTTATTTCTTTCAAATAAATTCTATAATAAAATAAATATTTTTATCAAAATAAAGTAAAACAATTTAACCACCAACACACAATTTAATAAATTTTTTTAGATTTATTTTAAAAATGTTTTTATCCCAATATTTATATAAATATAATATCAATTTTATATGACTTTCATATTTATGTGTACATAAGAAATCAAAATAAAAATTTAACCATTTTATTATTTTTTAAATAACAAAAAACCAGACAAAAATTAGTTAAACACAACAAAAAAGAGTAGTTATTACCTATTTAGATCGGGATTCTTAAATTTTATTTTGCTATTAGATGAGTAATATACAGAGGTTAATAATCTATAATCTAAATTTATGTAAATTAATTTTCTACACACCATACTTTTCATTCTGATTCTAAGCAACTTGCCTACATTTAGGCGAATGCAAGTAATCAATATTATATAATTTTGTTTTAATTAAAACTGAGTTTCAACTTTAATTTCTTTAGTTTTTCTAGCATCACACGTAAAGAAAAAACTACAAAACAAAAAGATATTGCAACATATTTTGATATACAACAGGTTTTTCTTCAAATATTTAATTATAGTTTTTAAATTTAATAATTTTTTAGTTAATTTTAAAAATGACATAATTCTGTGTTCTTAAAAAAATTAGATATAAATTTATAATTCCATAATATTTACAACGAATTCTTATATGTATGTTTCTTATAATAATGTAACAGGTGCATATTCCGAATAACAATTAGTAATCGATGGCGAAATTTATAGTTACAATGTAATCAATAAACAATGAAATTCAATTATCAAGGAATTATTATTGGAAGATGTTTGTAAGGAAGAGCACATTTATATAGGGAATTCCTATTTATAAATCATAATATGTTATAAAATTCTGCACATATTAATCCAAAAAATCGATAACAAAATCTAATCCAAAATATTATTCAGTAATAAAATTCAAAAAGATAATTATTAAAAGTTTCGAAATTACAAATAAAAATTTTGTTCGTATGTGATAAGAAGCAAAAGAAATTTTGGTATTTGTATTGAAAAATTCCTATTTATAAGATCTTGCGAAACAAGTTTAGTATAACTTAAACACTATTTTTTTTTTTGTTATTTTATACACCAAACACATGAATTCATACCGAAATTCCTACCAAAAATAATATGTAAACCAAAATTATAAAAATTTGATCAATAAACGTTTCTAAGAATGGGAGAATTTACCAGACAAATTTTCAAAATTTATTATTTTCAATGCAAAAAAAATATTTTTTAAATAAATGAATGTATTTGTATAAGAAATTAGAATAATTTGACTTAGGAAAAAAAAACGAGTATCATTACCATAATAATGAGTAAAAGGAATGCTTATTTTAACCCGAAATAGAATTTTTAAAATTTAACGTAATAAACGAATTACGTATATTCGGAATTTCCATGAGTTTATTTTTAAATAAAAACAGAAACATCTTTTTTCTTATCAAATAGTATAGTAAAGATCATCCTAAAAACATATTCGGTTAATTTTAATTGCGGCAATAAAAAAAGCTTAACTTTTAAAAAATATAGAAGCAATATAAAAGAACTGGCTTTTTTAACTAATTTCAACCAAACTTATTTTGAATTTCGTTCAAGAACATTGTCTTTTTTCGTATATTTCTCTATAGAATTAATTTGAATTTGAAAAAAAAAGAAAATGATTACCCTTAAGTGTTTATTAAGCTGTTTGATAGTTTTCATAATCAATTTAAAACAAATAAATAGTGCAAATATTTTAGCTTTACTTGGTATAGCATCACCGAGCCATCAAATATGGAATAGTGCTTTAACACATGCACTTGCTGAACGTGGTCACAATTTAACAATATTGGCGCCTGATTTACCAAAATCAAATAAAATACCTAAAACTGCACATTACATTCATTTAGAAAAAGTTTATGAATCAATGGCAAATTCTAGTGATGGAAAATTAGATTTTAATCATTTTATAGGAAGTGGTGCAATTGGAAATATACCAAGATTATATGATTGGGGTATAACTGCTTGCATCGGAGTAACCAAATCTGATGGCTTTTATACATTGTTAAATTATTCAGATGATTTTAAATTTGATTTAATTATACATGATTTTTCAATGGGATCTTGTTTATTGGGTTTCGCTCATAAATTTAAATATCCACCTATCGTTGGAGTCTCACCATTTTTACATCCACCCAATACTATTGATGTAGTCGGCGGTCATTTATATCCAAGTTATATTCCTTATTATGCAAGCACATCGTATGATATGAATATGACTTTTGTAGAAAGAATGCATAATACTTTAGTATACTTTCTTGACTATGTGTAAGTATTTTTATAAAATATTTACAAAATATTTTTAAAATGAAAAAAAATTTCTTCAATTGGAAAAATAAAACTACTTTTTTTTTTAATTTAAGTTATATTTATAACGGTTAATTTTTTGATAATTTTTAATTTTAGATATCGTCATTATTATGCCTTTCCAAAAATTAATCGGTTAATTAATCATAAATATCCAAAAGGAACTCCATACTTAAGTGACATAGATAAAAAAACTCTAATCGCATTATTAAATTCACATCCATCAATTAATTATCCAGAATCACTTCCACCAAATGTTATAGAAGTTGGGGGCTTACAAATAAAAGATACTTCACCGTTACCTGCTGACTTAAATGATTTCATACAAAAATCTAAAAATGGAGTAATACTAATGTCATTTGGAACAAATATGCTACCAAAAGATGTTGATACAAAACTAACTAAAATAATTTTGGAAACTATGAGAAAAATGTCAGAATATGATTTTATTTGGAAATTTGAAAAAGAATTTATTAAAGATGAAATCCCGCATAATGTTCTAATTAAAAGATTTGTACCACAAAATGATATTTTAGGTAAGTTTTTTTTTATCATGAAAATTACATTGAAATCATGTTCCATAATTTCATTGAATCATTTGATTGAGACTTTCAGCAATAAGTAACATATATTTTCAATTTCTAGGTTCTTAGTAATTTAAGTATGTATTTTTGCTTATATACAAACATTCATATGTATATAGAGTTTTTTATATAATGTACATTTATATATGTATGTATAAGCTATTAATAAATATATCCACCTTAAAAATAAAGTAGGCATTACAAAAATAATTAATACAATAAACAACACTTGTATGCAAATTTATTTTTGCAATTTTTTTACTACATAATATTTAATATAAACCATACGTACATATACGAAAATCACTTATAATTAAAAAAAAAGTGATAACAATCACTTTGTTATCAACCTAAATTGGAAAAGAAAGGTGCGGTTGATGGATATTTGAATGAATATTGAACAATTTTACTACATAAATCCAATATTTCCAAATATTATTAGAAATATTGAAATGAATGAATGATAATTAGAATTTTTTATTAAAATTAGATAATTAGGATATCTAACAAGTATTTTGTTTATGATATAACAAAATTGTGAAATAAATTCCACAAATACTTGCATTATATCAATAAATTATTATTATTTACTTACATACATACGTACACATATCACTAGTTAATGAAAATTGAAATAAATTTGATTTGTTCTCAGAACTGAAGTATTTAATGATAAAACAATTTTATTTAAATTTTGATAATAGCTCATCCTAAAATAAAAGCTTTTATAACTCATTGCGGTGGATTAAGTACTCAGGAAGCAACATGGCATGGTGTACCAATGGTCGGAATTCCTCTTTTTGTTGACCAAACAAGAGTATGATTCTATTAAATTATAATTAAAATTGAGAATATTTAATTTATTAAATATTCTCAATTTATTAAATATTAAATAATTTAATTTATTTATTTTAGAATATGTACAAAACAATGATTGCTGGTGTTGGTGAAAAAGTTGATTATCTTACTTTAGATTTCAAATCTCTTTATAATGGAATTAAAAATGTTGTGGAAAATGACAAATATAGAAACAATATGAAGCTCAGATCTAAAAGATTTCGTGATCGTCCAATGAAACCATTAGATACAGCAGTTTGGTGGGTTGAATATATATTAAGAGATCCAAATCCCACATATTTAAAACCTCCAACATTATATATGAGTTATTTTACAACAAACTCTTTAGATTTTATAATAATTTCGATAAGTTTATTATTATTTTTAATTATTGTACCGTTAATATTTTTGTATAGTATTATAACAAATCCCGGCAAAATTCAAATAAAAAATAAATTAAACTAATAAATGTAAGCTTGATGCTAAGAATATTTTTAATTTTCTTATAAGTAATTCAAACTCCCATGATAAATAAGATTCTTAAATCAACAATATTCTTAAATTACAATAAAACGTAAAATACTTCTAGTTTTCAAAGTCAGAGGATACACATAGTTATATAATTAACATATATCAATACATAGCATATTATATTTCTCCATCCAATGAGTTCAAGAGATGTTCCTTTTTAGAGAAGTTTGTAATTGATCAATATCAAATATTTCCAATACCTCAGAGTTATCTTTTAACAAAAGTTCATTATGTACATTAAACTCACAATGATTTTAAAAAATCTAATAAAATTCATATTTTGGTTCAGCCTTCTTTTGTTAACGTTCTCTTTCCATTTTAATTTATCATTGAGAATTTTGTTAAGATACCTTATTTCATTTTCTTTTCCCGGTGTTGTAATATATGTACATGAACTGATTTATGTTACTTTATTACAATATAAAGTTTTTAAATTAAGTCTATTTCAATAATCAAACGCATTCGGATTTTGTTAAATTTATATTAAAATAAACAGCAATACATACCTACATATAACTTATCATAGTTATTGTCAAACGATTTTAGAATAACAATTACATACATATACATATCTTTTAATGGATTTGAATTATTCACAAAAGCTTCTATTAAATATCACATGCAACAGTAAAATATTATATAAATTAATTTCTAATTTAGTACTATTCCAACTTCATATTCAGAACATTCAAGTACTCATAGTTGCATTAGTACGTACATTATTTTTTAGAAATGCTTATCATTAAATATTTACTAAGTTATTTGATTATTTCCGTTATCAATTTAAAACAAATAAATGGAGCAAATATTCTGGCTTTACTTGGCGTAGCTTCACCGAGCCATCATATATGGAATAGTGCTTTAACGCATGCTCTTGCCGAACGTTCTAGTCATAATTTGACTATACTATCACCAGATTTACCAGTAAAGAACAGCACACCAATAGGCGCACATTATATTCATTTGGAAAAAGTTTATGATTTAATGTCTTCTTCTAAAGATGGTAAATTCGATTTGAAAAATTTTATTGGAAATAATGCAATTAGAAATATACCTACATTGTACGATTGGGGAATAAAAAGCTGCTTGGGTGCTATAAAATCTGAAGGTTTTTATACACTGTTAAATTATCCAGATGATTTCAAAATTGACATAATTATTCATGACTTTTCACTTGGTGCTTGCTTATTGGGTTTTGCACATAAGTTTAATTATCCACCAATCGTTGGAGTATCACCATTTTTATACCCACCGAACACTGTTGATATAGTTGGTGGAAGTTTGTTTCCTAGTTTTATACCATTCTATGCCATTTCGTCATATGATATTAATATGAGTTTCGTTGAGAGAATGCACAATACTCTAGTATATTCTCTTGATTATTTGTAAGTTAAAAAAATATAATAAATTTATTATCAAAATTAAAATAATCATTTATTCAAAAATATTATGTACATATGTACGTATGTATTTATATCTGTGCAGATATCGTCATTATTATGCATTTCCAAAAATAAATCAACTAGTTCGTGATAAATATCCAAAAGGAACCCCATACTTAGAAGATATTGATAAGAAAACTGTTATTGCTTTGGTAAATTCTCATCCATCAATTAATTATCCAGAATCTCTTCCTCCCAATATTATAGAAGTTGGTGGATTGCAAATAAAACATCCTTTACCATTACCAACCGATCTCAAAAGTTTTATCGAAAAATCTAATAATGACGTAATACTAATGTCATTTGGAACTAATATGCAAGCAAAGGATGTTGGTACAAGATTGTCCAAAATTATTTTGAAAACTATGAAAAATATGCCGGAATACAATTTCATTTGGAAATATGAAGATGAATTTCATACAGAGCAAGTTCCAAATAATGTGTTGATTAAAAAGTTTTTGCCACAGAATGATATTTTGGGTAATTTAGAACTTTAATACGTGTATATATTTTGAATTTTTTAATATTATAAATTTTATTATTTTATCATTTTATTTTCATTTATTTTTTTGACAATTTTAAATACAATTGACTAAATCATTAGTATTAATATTAATAATTTTTTAATAAATTATCTTACATCTTCTGGTTACACATAGCCCATCCTAAAACAAAAGCATTTATAACCCACTGTGGGGGGCTGAGCATTCAAGAAGCAACATGGCATGCTGTGCCTATAATAGGCATTCCTCTTTTTGTTGATCAAATGCGGGTAAAATTTAAATGTACTTTTTTAAAAATATTTTAACGCCAACATTTTTTTAATTCTGCAGAATATGCACAAAACTGTAGTAGGAGGTGTTGGAGTATTGGTTGATTACCTCACTCTAAATTCAAAAACTCTTTCTGAAGGAATTAAACTAGTTATGGAAAATGATACTTTTAGAGTTAATATGAAACTTAGATCGAAAAGATTTCGAGACCGATCAATGAAACCATTAGAAACAGCGGTGTGGTGGATTGAGTATATTTTAAGAGACCCAAATCCAGTGCACTTAAAATCTCCGACAATTTTTATGAATTATTTTATAATAAATTCAATTGATTGTTTCTTATTTTTATTATGCACAATTTTTTTTTCATTATTAATATTGTCATATTTTGTCTTAAAAGTAAGAAAAACTACAATAATTAAAAAAAAAATTGAATAGAATTATCCGTAAATGAATAATTTAATAGAAAAATTATGTAAAAATCTACAATATGTATATAATCTTAAAAAAGTTCTTTAAAGTTAAAAAAAAATTGTATTCCTTTTTTTATCTAATTGCTAGACGTTCTATGTTTGAATATATTGTGAAGGTTTTCTTTTAAGTAAACTTTAATTTTATAATGTATACAAGAATTTATTTTAGCAATTCAATATGATTACTTACCTAAATACATATATTATTTATTCAAATAATAGGTACTTGACAATTTTTTGCTTTATTGAAAGTTTTGCTTCCCTGTATTCAAAAATTTTTGACCACTTGCGTACTTATCACTTTTATATCAAAAATATTACTTTATTAGTAATTATTTATATATATATATATATATATATATATAATATATATATTATATATAATTAATATTACTAATAAAATCTTTTTTTATTAATAAACATTTATTCTGAATAAATTTGAAGTTCGTAACCACTGATCATATTTTTATTTTTAAAATGAAGATTTATTAATAAGTATTAACACGAACACTTATTTTAAAGATTGTTTAAAATATCAAACAATTGATTTTACCGTTGAGCTGCTTGTTCTGTTGACAAATCATTAGGCGTTGCCAATTTTTGTTTAAACTTAATACAATAATTCTGGTAGTATTCTGTATTATCAGCAGCAAAATTTTGAATCCGCCTTTAAGCTGCATTTAAAACCAAAACTTAATACATGGTCAACTTGTCTTATAAATATAATTACAAGCATAATTATTACCATCCTCAAAATTTCTAGCCTATTGCTAACTTTCTACAACAAAGTTCAAGAAAGAAGTTGAAAATCATCTAGAATTTTTTGAATGAATTATGTTTTTATTTGTCTTTCTGGCCTATTAAGCTAGAAAAAATTTGTTTAGCATTTAAATTAGCATTATTGTAAAACCTGCACTATCCAAATTACGATAAATAGGTTGTACCTAAACACATATTAAAAAAAATTGTAATAATATGCTATTCTTTCAAATTTTAATCGTTCTCCATTTCCCAAAATAGTTACTTTAATAACATATACTATCACACATACTATCAGTTTATAACTTACAAAACAATTCAAATATTTATTAAATTTACAGACATTATATAATTCACACTTTTATCAAATTAAAATAATTTGTTTGCACCATTTTGTTTTAATTTTAACAATCACATCGTTTTAAGAAATAGGAAGTAACTATTTGCTTAATCTAAAATTTAATAATGCTTAATGCGTTACGAATACATTCTGTATATTTTGTATGTATACTCACCTACACATAGTATTATCTACAGGAACTATTATCTGAATTTTGTTTTTTGTTGAATATAGATTTTGTTAACTTTCAACACAAATCTTTGATTTGATTCAGATAATCTATTTTAGCCAGTTTTGAGCATATTCAGACTTAAAAATAAAATTATTTATTTATTTTATATTATAAAAACTAAATTATTTGTACTGTAGAAAACCATGGACTTCCTGGTTTGTAAACCATTTTTGTAAGCACGGACATTTTTGAAACTGGAGCAATTCCATGCATATGAAGATGCTATAAAACATTTTAAAGCATTTACAAATACGCCAATATACAAATATATGTTTATTTACTTTTACACTATTAAATGGAGGCCAATGAAAACCAAATAAGGAATCACTTTCATCCACTCCTTTACTTTTTATATGTTCTTTAAGAGATATCTCCATATTAACGACTAAAGGATAGAAATATTTTATATTATGCATGCTATGTATTTTTTTCTTACTTAAAGGTTTGTCTTCTACTTTTAATGACTTCACATTATCAATATGGACTTTGCTCACTGCCAAAAAATGATAGTCTGAAGCAGGTTTAATATCCTTAAAAATTACTATTTCCTCATTTTCGAATTCTATTACGGTTTCCGTCTTGCCATCCACTATTTTGCAAAAAATACAATTGGGATTCATTATAAATTACGTTTAAAATGTTTTCACTTTATTTGTCAAACACCTATATTATACGTTTTATTATACATGGGTCATGCAAAATATAAGGATTCTTAATTTCTCAGCACTGTCAGTTTACAAGTATGATTTATAAAAATTTACATTAAACAAATAAACAAACTAAATTGCTTTCAAATACCAATGCTACCGTTTTGTTTTTAAATCAATTTTTAATGAAGAGTTGATCTACCCTTTTGGTAAAGAAACGCAAAGTTTATTCAGCAGTAGTAAACATGTTACGTACTCTTCTACTCAGGCGACAGAATTAAATTTTAAATCATTTATTTTAGTAAAATATAATACGGTTTATCTCGTGAACATGTTTTTGTTTAACTAAAAATTAATATGTATTTAGTCTGCATTTAATTTTTTGACAAGTTGTATTAACTTTGATATGGGTACTCCTCCACATTCTCAAAAGATAACCAAATTCTGTTTTGAACAGCAAACTAGCCTCGGCTCAAAGTTTAATTTTCAAAAAATGAATTATGTGGCAAGGTTTCTCTTGTTTCAATTATTTCAAATGATTTATTACAATTTTTTAAGTGATTGAGAATATCACACAGTATACAGCTTTATAGAAGAATAAAAAACATCATTTGATTGTCAAAAATTAGAATTTATGGAAAATTTTACTTTAATTCTTGTAACCTTAGGAAATTTTTGACTTTTCATTTGAAGTCCTAATAAGACAGTTTCGGAAACGATCTAACTACCTTGCAAAAAAGGTCCCTATGCTTTTTTGGATCTAAACGAATCAACAAAAAGGTTTTTTTTTCAAATTCTATTTTATATGTTTTGCAAAAAAATGTAAATTCAAACAATTTTTTTTTGAGATACATACTTCAAATTGAACTCCTGAACAAGCAGCTGATTTGAAATAAATAACTAGAACATGCCTTCTGGGTATTTATAAAAGTAACATCTGATTTTGACAGTTCGTTTTTGATTTTCTTATTAAGATTAAATAAAAGATGTAAATCAAAATTATAAGTGAATGAAGATAAAAAATTACGGTAGTAATACTAAAATTTTGTATTAATCAATGTAGTTTACCAAAATGAACGGATTAAAAGCACCGTCTTTGCAATCGTTACTAGAATCCGATAGAGGTTCTACAGACAGTTTATTAGCAGAATCGCTTCAACTTGATATAGAAGACGTATTATATATTTTTAATAAATATTTAAGATAATACCAAAAAAAAAAAAATAATTTTAGTTGGATGATGCTGAATACTCTATTCCCCAATTGGATTCCTTGCCAACGTTGGAAAGTGTTTTGAATGATTTTGACGCTGATTCAGACATTATATCTGATGGACAGTTTCCAGCACCAACACCAACTCCTTCTATAGCAGATGAAACCACGAGAGCTGGATCAATTTTGAGACATGTAGTTTTACAAGGAATAACATCACAAATTTCTTCAGCGGCTGTAATATTTTGATCTTAATAATTTTATTGTCGAAAACTCTGAATAATTAAATTTCAGGATCGAATAAACGCAGGATTAGCTACAGCTGTAGCAGTGTGCCAAATGATAGCTGTTGGAACTTCCCATGGACATATTTTAAATTTTGACAACACGCAAACTTTAAGATGGGCGCATCAAGATCAAAATTCCCAAGGTGCTGTTTCCGCTTTATCTTATAATGAAGATTCTTCTCGTCTTCTAGCTGGCTTCGCAAGGGGTCTAGTGATAATGATAGATACGCGAAGCGGCAACATATTACGAAGCCTTTTTGATTCTATAACCCCGAATTCAGGAGTTCTTAATTTAAAATGGACTGGAAGACCTGCATTAGCTCTTTGTTCCGATTCTGGGGGCTCGGTATGGTCTTTAAGTTTCACTAGAAAATTAGGCATTCGTGGTTATGCATCAAGGTGTTTGTTTAGTGGAGCAAGGGGAGAAGTTTGTTCAGTTGAACCTTTGATTATAGAGGAAGAAAATAATGACCTCAATCAATACTGTATTATAGCTTTAGCAACGCTATCAAAATACTTCGTTGTTACCATAAGACCCCGTCTCAGAGTGGGTATTCTAATATTGATAAAATATATTATTCATTTTTTAAAAACTATTTTAGGTAATAAAATTTCATCCTCTTACTGGTCCTTCAGGGTGTCTGCCGCTACTGGCTTGGCAAATGGTTTTGATACAAGCTGCAGATTCAACTAGAAGCGTTGATCCAGTATTAGCAGTTGCTCGAGGAAACCAACTATATTTTCATCAAATTTTAGTTAATAACGGACGTGTAAGTTTACTATTTCTGCGACATGTACAAATGAATTGTGAACTTTTAGCTGTACATTGGCTTGGACCCAAATCGGTTGCATGTATTGACGTTTCAGAAATTTTGCATTTAATCGACGTCCGATCAAGTAAAGAATTAGAAAATATTGATATGGCGAAGGCAGGTTTAGTGTATGGATCAGCTCAGTTTAAAGGTCTTGCAACCGGAGGAAATGTGTCTCCTGCTTTAGCTTTAGCCGGAACACACGCCTGCTACAATTCTGTTTTATCAAAAGGGACACAACTTTATATCCTTGGAGCAAGAAGTTTACACATAATTAGTATACGTAATTGGAGTGAACGGATAACATTTTTAGTGAACCAGCAACGTTGGGTTGAAGCTTGTGAATTAGCTTTAGAAGGATACAGAACTGCAGGGGACAGAATCAGGAAAAAACAACAGGCTAAGGATCGTGTAATTGAATTATTTCATGACTATATTTCAGTATCTAACAGAGCACCGGAATATTGTTTAGGTCCAATAATTAAATGTTTAATAGAAATTAATGAATTGGAATTGCTCTGGCAAGAATTATGGGAAGGTCTAAACCAAACTAATTTATTTTTAACTATCATAACAGAACATATAGAAAATGATGAGGTAAAAATTCTCAGTCCTAGCATAGCACAAGCATTAGTTGAGTTTTGGGTTAACCTATCCCCTTCTAAACTAGAGGAAATCATTTTGAAATTAAATTGGACCTGTTTGGATTTAAATCAAGTTTTAAAAGCTGTAAAGCAAAAAAAATTATATAAAGCGCAAATGTATCTGAATGCGCATGCTCTTGGTGATTATGCTGCTTCATTAACTGAATTAATTCCTTTAATAGAGAGTGAGCATCCGAATTTAGGCAACAGTATACTCGTATATATATCCAGTTGTTTAGCTGGAAGAGGCTACCCTCATGGCGAAATACCGTCTAATTGCGTGCAAAACGTTAAACATGAAGTATTAAGATGCCTCACTTCTGCGCACTCCATTTCTGCCGATGATGATGAACTTCCTTATCCATATCTAAGAGCTTTGTTAAAATTTGACACTCGAGAAACATTGAATGTTATTTCATTGGCTTTCCAAGAAAAAGAATTTTGCGGTGAGTTAGGTTTATCTCATCGTCAAAGAATAATAAATATTTTACTAGAAATAATGACGCCGGAAAACGCTACCGTAAGCTGTTTCTATTACATATATCTGAAAAGTATTTTAAGTAATTTGTTCATTTTTTCAGTGGTCACAAATCGGATGTCTTCTTAATTTTATAAGTCAACAACTTTCTACAAACATTTTACCAGATGATAGCTCATTATTAGATAAGGTAGTGAATTATCTCTCCAGAGATGAAATAGAAGGAGAGACACCACGACAGCATATGGAGCGTGAAAATGCTTGGTTAGAATTAATTTCCTGTGATAGATTGAGTCATATACCGCTAGAGAAACAACTAGATATGGCAAAAAGAGCTAAATGTTATTGTGTAGTTGAGCACTTGTTGGAAAAAGAAAAGAAATATGATGAAATACTAGAATGCTATATAAACAACAGTCAAAGACATTTTGAGATGTTTTCTTATATGGATATACATGCCAGAAACATAGAAAGAAAAATTCTACAACAGATTGAAAAGAATTTCACAGCTTTGCTGCGTATTGATTCAGAACGTTTAACAAAAATAATTGCAGATAATTTTGAAGATAGTATATTTCGCCTTATAGAATTGCTAAATGACGAACCGAAATTATTATATTCATTTTTTACAAATTTATTGAAAATTGGTGTTATGCTGGAATCCGAAAATTGTGAAAAGTACATAAACTTGTTGAGCAAAGAGGCGCCAAATAATGTTCTAGAATTTTTAAAATCAAATAATAACTATCGAATAGAAAAAGCTCTGGATATAGTAAAAATTTATAATCTACATGACAGTGTAATTTTTTTATATGAAAAACTAGGTAAATTTACCTGCATTTTAAAAATTAATTTAATTGAAAAACCTTCAGTGTAAACATTTTAATGTACTTACTTGCATAAAATTAATTTTTAGGAGATTATCACATGGCATTTAATTTGACAATGTCATTGTTGGAAAATCAGATTGAATCGCGACAATTGGAACATTTAATAACAAATTTAGGTGCTTTATGTTTACGAGCCTCTGCTGTATTACCAGAAGAGGAACGCGAAAATATGTGGTTCACATTATTAAAGTTTATTTTCGCAAATTCTAAGTTACAAACAATAACAAAAAGTATTTTACACGACGCTAGTCAACACGTTGATCTACCAAAACTGGTGCAATTGGTGTTAGATACATCAGAAACGCATTCAAATAATTTTGGTGATATTAAAGATTTGCTGATGGGAATGCTAACCAATTCAAAATACGAACAAATATTAGTTGAAAATACTGCCCAAATATTAGGTAATCATTTTCTTTAATATTTTATAAAAAAATTTTTTGCCACTATTTTCTATTAAATGATTTTATATTCAATGTATATATTATAAAATAAAATGTTAGCGCAAAAGCAATTACCTATAGACGTATCCAAAATATTCGATATTCAATACCAACAAAAATAAGCCGACTGCGGTAGATCTCACCCGCACCCACCTAGTTAACTCAATGACTTATGAAACCGACTCTGAACATTGGCTCTAAAATCAAGTAGAAGGTCCTAAGTAAAGTAAAGAGTGTTATATTATGTTAACAATCAGATTAATTAGATAAAATAAAATAAATGAATACAGTTTGTGTACTGCATCTCAGGTATAATAACTTGTCGATAGTAGTAAAAAAGTTGTTTTGTTTTTCTTTTCTGGTTTGTGCTAATATTTGCAAATTTATTTATAAATATATAAAATATATGATGAGTTATTTATACCCTTCGTCATCTATTTCAGGGCAAGATTTGCATTTGAAATTCTGCAAAAAACGGAAAGATGCAAAACGAGGATTATGGATAGCCATTGTCAAATGTATTGTATGTCGACAACGGTTGTATAATCAAACAGATAATATTTTCATTTTTGGCATATGCGGTCATGCAATACATAAAAGCTGCTTAAAAGAGGTTCAAAATGATGATAACTTACACTGCCCCAGATGTGGGTCTTCTATTATTAATCAAAGTCCTATTATACTAGCCGAGCCCAAATCAGAAATAATAAAATCAATAAATTGTGATGAAATAGTAAATCGAAATAAGGGTGTGAGTGAAACAAGCGAGTTGCATTTGAAATCACCGCCTAGAAATTTTTGAAATATCATTATAATTTAATTTATAAAAAATATGTACATTTTGATTATAAAACTTATACCACATACTTCTAATTGTTCCTTATTTCTGTACACATAGAATTAAAAATAGTTTAAATCATAGATAATAAAATTATAATTTAGTTAAAATATTATACTTCAGAAAAAATTATTGCATTTAGAAAATATTGTAAAGTGTAAAAAAAAATGACTATGTACCTATTTCGATACAGATTTAATACAGATCGGAACGTTCACAAGTTGTCTTGTATTACACATTTTTGTAAAATTGGTATGACAAAATTAATGATTAAAAATTATTGTAAATATAAGAACTTTTTTACTAAAATCATTTAAACTTATGATCTGTAATAAGTTTTCCTTATTATTATTACATTCATTATGTTAATTTTTGTATGCATTTGTGTTTAATGAAAAAATTATTTTTATTGTTATCACTTTGACAAAAAATTCTATTTTTTGTAAGTAATTACATATATCTTTACAAAATTTGCAATGAATTTACTATATGTACAAACGATATAATTTTATAAATATTTTTTGTATGAATGTTTTCAGTATTTACCATTTTCACAACTACATAATATATATTTAATTTATGTTACTTATCATTTATAAAGTCAGTTAATAAAAGAAGTGAAAAATTAATAAAATAATACCTTTATATCAGACAACTGTTGCTTAAACATCCTTAAACATATTGCCAAAGTCGCAATAAAACATCATGTAGGGAAGAGTAATTGGTAATAAAGGCTACCGATAAGGAAGAGTATGAAAGTAAACAAAATGATAGCGAGTAAAATAAAATTATATAAAAGAAACAAACAAACGGGTGAAAGTGGAAAAGAAACTATTAATCACAATATGAGAATAAAAGACGGCCATGCAATAAGATTCATATTTCTTAAAAGACTAGACTTAGCAGCCGTGGAATCAAATTTGTTAATCGTTAATTCAAAACATAAACAGTTAAAATTAGCACATCACAAAATCCTAACGAAAATTTTGGAAAAATTAGGAAATGGCAAAAAAAGATAAATATTATTTTCATCTCTTAGAAATAGTTGATTAACAAAATGTGTAAATTACTTTATCATTTACTATTATATTATCCATTACTCCAGCTAATACTATAATTTTTCGCATATTACATTATATTCTCAGTCTTCATTTTTTTAAATATTTCATCATTAAATACATGATCTTCAAATATTTCTATGAAAATTTTTCCAATAATTACACTTACTGATTATTTTAATAAAAGAAAATGTACTCCGTTGAAAATGCATCGTAAATGAACAAACCTTTAAGTATTATGAATTTGTTTAAAAATTTTTAAATGGAAAATATAGTTTTAGTTTAATAAAAATTATGCGCATATTTCTCAGGATTAGGAAATCAACATAATTATTTATCATGTGTATAATCTTTTACTGATTTTATCTGTACCAAAAATAATGCAAATTTGTTCAAAATAATACGAAGAATAGTATAATTTATTATTTAAAATAAACGAACACTTTCTGCGTTTATACGCAACTTGAAGCCGGCTTGACTTGAAATATTCAAGTCAAGTCGATCCGATAAAATTTTTAGCTTCACTTGAATATCGACCGCATATACACGAATTGAAAAATTAAAAATGACAAACTAATTCATATTACGTACGGGTGTATATGATTAACTTGAATGAAAATCGACCCCGCATATGCAGTCGATTTTCAAATCAAACTAAAAATATATCGAATTGGACTTGTAAATATCAAATCAAGTAACGGTTATATGAACTAAAAATTTTTTTTTGAAGTCGGCTTCAAGCTGCATATAAACGTAGTAATGTGTTTGGCATTTATTGTTTCAAACTTCTTTTTTGACATTTCTTTTTTTTTCAAATAAGCATACAGCGCCAATAGTTACTAGGAAGTGTAAGACGAACTAAAACACTATAATGATTGACATTTATATAGCATGTTCTTAACCCCTTGTCTTATTTGTGATATCTACATAAATTTTTAAAACTTATTGAATCAAATTTTAAAATTTAATATATTAATTAAAATATATACATACCTATATTATGTATAAAATATTCAAAATTTAAAAATAAAATATATTTAAAAAAAATAACATAAAATATTTAATTATAAGTATATCGTATTTTTTAGAAATCTTATATTTAGAAACGTAAATTTTAAATTAAAAAATTTTATTTCTGAATTTTTTTTTATATAAAAGATACATGATAAGGCTATTTCGCTAGCCAATAAAAATAATTTCAAAATCTGAAATGTACATTTTCTAACTTTAATAAGGCACCCACACAGTATTAAATATTATTAATTATTGTTAGTTCTACGTTTTTACGTCAAGTACGTCAAAATAAAATAACATCAAAGTGTTAATAAAATGAATTATCGAATATTTTTCAATTCCCTTTATCAAGTTCGCTTTACCAAGTCTCACATTTTCGATTTAGTTCTTTTTTAACTATATTTTCTAAATTTCCATCATTTAATTTTAAAGAAAAACGAATGTTTAAACTTGAAAAACTACAAAATCTAATTTGTTCTAATCTGAACAAATAATGGCAATGCGACTGCTTGCTGTTGCTTTGCTTTTAATTTGGCGTACTTCGCATAAATCAATGCATCGACATATTTGCGATCAAATCACAAAACCCCACTACTAACATAATGAACCACTGGATTTTCATCATTGATTTAATGACAAGAAATTGAATCTGACATAAAAACAGTCAAATTGCGGATATTTGTGTATTTGTCAAAAAATTCCCCATCGTATTTTCTTTTGATATTTTCTTTCTTTCCGGTCTAACATGGTAGGTTGAAGGATAGGAAAAATAAAAATTCAGTAAAAAAGTTTGCAAAATGGAGCGGATTTAAGTAATTTGTTTTTTTTTATAATTAAGGAATAAAAAAAAATGATCTATCTAAAAATTAATTTCAAAGAATTTTGGGAAATGAAAAATTTTTAATAAAAATTTTTCAAGCCACACGTGCAATGGGTTTTGTTTGCAAAATTTTACATTTGTTTTCATTTTATATTTAAGGGAGAAACCGTTTTCATTCTGCAATATAATCCATTTATTAAAAAAAGTTAAGGAAATGTTTAAAACCGTATTTTTATTTTAGCCATTCCAAAGGTTTGTGGAGACAGGCAGAATTGCCAAATGCTCAGCGGGTCCCTTGAAAGGGAGATTAGTAGCGATTGTTGATGTTATAGATCAAACAAAGGTAAGTTCTGTTTCTTTCAGTATATTCTTCAAAGTGAAATCAATTAAAGAATGATGATTACGTTACGTCTTGATAGGAAAGGCCATCTGATACAAACATGACGTTATTCGTTTCTCTGAAAGATTGAAAATATTAAACTTAAAAACGTCTATTATCAAGCTAGATTATTTGGTACTGTCTAATTGAGTGAAAATTCAATTTCAGGTATTGATTGATGGACCATTAACGGGAGTTCCACGTCAGGAATATAGACTAAATAACCTTCATTTAACGAAATTCCGTCTTAAGTTTCCTTATCACGCTCCAACAAGGGTTGTGAGAAAAATATGGAAAGATTTTAATGTTCGAGCTGAGTGGAAAAAAACAGCTTGGTCACAGAAAGCAGTTTCTATACGAAAGGTAATTTTTAAATTACGTAGTAGATTTTTGAAACACATTTAACCTTATTTAATTTTTATTTAGCGAACACAATTGAATGATTTTGATCGCTTTAAATTACGTTATGCTAAACGTCAACGCAATAAGCTTTTAACTATTGCTTTCAACTCATTGAAGAAGAGGACGAAATTCGATGGAACACCAATTAAGCTTAAGAATGATAAAGCAGTTAAGTTCAGAAAACTAAAAGATGAAAAGTTAGCTGCCAAAGCTAAAAAATAATTTTAGAACTTTTAAAACTGAAAATAACTTCAAATAAAAAACAAATTTCTTAAACTGTACTTTTTTATTTTTTTAATACATATAGAAATGTATAGATACATTCCTAAAATTTATTCTTAGTGAAATAGCTTTAACTGATCAATTTTTTTAACTCATCTAGGAATAAGCACAATTTTAACCGGTTGATCTGGTTTGTTTATTAGTAAAGTTTCAACGTCCATGAAATCCTTACCCATCCATTTGATTTCGTAGAGTCGCACAATCTAAAAACAATAATTTTAGAAAATGGAAATATCTTAAGTTTGTAGGTTGTTTACTCTCAGCAAAAATACAAGCATATTCTGTTCGGCCAATCTTCTAGCAATACAAGCTCTCATCCCATGGCCAAAGGGTAAAACTAAATAAGGGTTTATAACAGCTCTATTCATCCATCTTTCTGGAGAAAATTTAGCAGCATTTTCAAAATATTTTTCCAAACGGCTTGCTACCATATTTTGAGTCACTACTACTGTCTAACAAAAATTTATTTGAATTAAATACAATTCATACTTAAATAATATTTACTTCCTAAAGGAAAATACAAACATTAGTATTCTAAAAATTGCAGTAAACTTAGTTTTCCTATCGTGATTATTTTCTACTAGAAAAAATTATCTATATTAATGTTTAATTTAGATGTTACAGCAACAGCAACGATGTAAAGCAACAGTAAAAACGTTTCCATAACCCGTTTTTGAATAAAATAAAACTAACTACACATACTTATATGGGTTTTTTCTTAATTTCTAATTTAAAAGCTACTTAATATAATATCCATTTAAACTAAGCGCAGCTTTATCAAATTCAGACTTTCTTTCAAAAGTTATTCAACCTTATACCAAAAATCTACTACTAAAAGTTTAATTTTTTAAAGAATGTTTATGTACATATGTATGTACCTACAATATTAAACTTACATCTCTTGGTACGTTATAACCGCCTAAAACACAATTGGAATTAAGTATCCTTCCAACCCCCACCGAAATTGGATTGAGTCTAAAAACTTCTTTCAAAACTGCCCTTGCATAAGGAATTTTAGATTTTAAAATTTCTTCAGATATTGCATCACAAGGATTTTTTAAAATTGTTCTTGATTCATCTAACAATTTGTTTTGAGATTCCGGATTTTTTGCTAAATGGTATAAAGCAAAAGATGTGCTATAAGACGTTGTGTCTATACCAGCTAACAACATATCAGCGGTCATTCCAACAATATCGCTTAAATCTATATTTGGATTTTTCAAATATTGGTCTAGCAAGGACACCCGAGTTTTTACACCATTCACTTTAAAATTATCAGATTCATCGGAGTAAAATGATAATTTTTGGGATACTAACTCTACTGCTACACTTTCCATGTATTCCTGTGCTTTACGAAGCTTTCTATATGTTGGGGTTTCAAAATAACGCCAAAATTGAAATCCTTGATCTGTTGGAAGAATTGAACTTAAAACTGAAACAATTAATAAAAAAATGGTTATGAATAATTCATCGACCTGTACCTGTTAGTATCTTCCGCTGATTTTATTAATTTCGATGTTCGTGAATTTAAATTGTATTCGGAACTTGAAAAACTTCCTAAACGAACTCCAAATGTAAGAAGACATGTTACTAAAATGGGATCATAATTATTTTTTCACATTTCTGTTATATAATTAAATAATAAATTATGCATACAATATCGGTTTTTTTTTATGTATGTTCATACATACATATGCACAATATATTTTTCCGTTTTAGATTCAAACTTACATTCTAAATTTAGTCTTGCTAGTTCAGGAAGTATGTCAATTATTTCATCAGATTTTAAATTCATTATAAATTCTTTTGTAACATTATCGATATCAGGCAGAAAAGTACGTACGTTTTTCGGAATACTAAGTTCCTTTTGGAATTCAGAACGAATTCGCCACCATTCTGCTCCATTTCTGTAATAGGAAAAAATTTTACATGAATTATCACAACTACATAAAAAAGTTGTATTGATATGTGAATTTTTTTTTTTAATTATTATTTTCGAATTTAATATATTTTTGGTATGTATACCCACGTTGGTAATAAACCAGCAGATTTATACACATGCGGACGATCTTTTCTAAATTTTTCCAGTGCTAAATGTGATCTTCTTTGAGGATAATCTTTTTCATTCAGTACTACAGCAATGTCATTGGGGTCATAAAGCCATATAACAAAATTTCCAGGCACCATTTTTTCTTTAACTATAGATCCATATTTGATATATTTGTCCAAACTAGCTTCGTGAATTTTCAACCAGGAGTATTTTCCTAAATATCATTAACACGTACACAAATGAATTTAATATATAATAGAAAAACAATTAATTAACTTACCTATTCCTGGCAAATAATTAAAAATATTTCCTAAGCCTAAAGGACCGGATGGTCCCGGAATGTCTTCAAAACTTTTAGCATTCAATTTGCTGTTGTTTTTAATACCAGCAAAGCTAAATTTTCTTTTATGAAGAGAAAAGTTTTTTTTCGAGATTATTTTGAACATTATGTTTACCTACAAACATATGTATGTGCATATACTTTTCATAGAGTGCGAGTACAAAGTATAAGAATTAAACCATTGATAAAAAATAATGAATGGCTTATGACAGCTGATAGCACACCTACCGATCACTTAAATGAATTTTATCTCAACAGTAATTGATCAAATAAATCTTACTTTATTTAGTACCCACCTTTTATAAAAGTAGCTTTACAAATTCAAAGCTTTTAAGCTTTGAAAAGGTATTGTTGCAAAGTACAATTATTTATTAATTTTGGCTTTTATAATGCATTTATATAAACAATCATATATAAATATGAAGGTACCTACATTAATATTTCAGAGTAGTATTGAGCCATCTTACACAACAAAAGAAATTAAGAAACAAGCCTCAAATGCAAAATAAAAGAAATTATTCAAATAATTTTATATAATATATTTTGTAACATGTATTTACAAATAAATAAATTACGTAGAAATCAACATTTAAAATATTCGTTATATTAAAATATCAAAATATCACAACACCCCGTAAGAACTGCAAAAAAAAGTAAATATGTACATATATGCATACATACATATATATGCAAGAAACTTTAAATAATCTGAAAACTCAAGAAAATTTCTAAAGATTTCCTTACTTTTATGATATTCAAAAACAAATATGTAACAAATATACAATGTACCTTCGTACATGTTAATCTAATGTGCAACCGGCATATTTTAGTATCCTTAGTCTCTTTAGCTTTTGTTGTATAATGTCAATTGATTCTTGATTCAAATTTCGACAATATGATAAGTCTAAAATTTCAACAGATTTACAATTCGTAGTTAAACACTCTATTCCTTTAATTGATATTTGCTGACAATTAGATATATATAATTCTTTTAATTCATGAAATTTAATGCCATATTTAAGTGAAATATCCGATATTTTAGTACATCCGCTTAAATTCAGCAACTCTAGCCCTTTCAAGTTACCTATCGGTTTGCAGTCTGCAGAAATATCGATATTTATATTTTTATTTAATAATGAAACCATAGCTTTAGCCCTTTCAGCTTCCAAAACTATCTGTTGCTCGGCTTTAGATCTTAAAGAAATTTTTGTTAATTTATGCGATGTCGAAGGAATGGATTTATCAATGAATTCTTGATTCAGCGGTTCGCCATCATTGTGAATTATCAAGTTATCATCGATATAATTTAAATCGCATCCTGTTATTGCTCCATCCGTAATCTGCAATTGAAACTATTAAATATTTAAAATTTTTATTTTAACACAATTTTTTACTAAATGGCATGATTGCAAATTCAATTTTCTTAACAATACTTGATTTTTTATAATTGCAGCAAGTGATTTATCAGTAACTCCGTTACAACAGTTTCCAACATCAAAAACTCTTAAATTAGGTAAATTTTCCGAGCATTGAATGACACAATTTTCGTATAAATCAATTGAAGACAAATACAATTCATGTAAACTTTCGTTTTTTAAATTTACTAAGTTATCTTTAATACCATTACTAGAAATACCAACACAGTTCGATAAATCTAAAACTTTTATGCTTTTAATACCAGCTAATATTTTAGAGGTTTCATCGGTTAGTTTCCAGCAATGCCGAAGTTTTAATATTTGTAATTGAGATAAATCCTGAAGTAATCTTACACAAGAGTCATTAATACCTTCACAGTTCGATAAATCCAACTCCACAATATATATTTGATTGCAAATAAAACTTTGAAAACCATTCAAATTTAATTGTCTACAAGATTTAAGTATTAGTCGCTTTAATTGTAAACCTTTTACCATAGCTATTGTTGATAATGCTGCACCGTCAACTAATGTATCACTTAAATTTAAATAAGATATAGAATAAGCCTGTGATTCAATAGCCTTTACGATATACTTCAAGGTTAACAAATTTTCAGATGGAGTATTTTCTAAATTTTGAGGATAAAATCGTTTTTGTATTGCATGATGAAAGGCTATATTACAATCGGATAAGTTTAGGCTTTCAAGTTCGGACGTCATTTTTATTATTCTCATTAATATTGCATCTGATAAATAAGGGTTACTCTGTAAAGACAGCACTTTTAAATTTAACATATTTTTTTTTATCAGTACTCGATTTTCCTCAGATTCTAGAAACCTTCCCGCCATAAATAATGGTGAATTTTTTTCAACTACTAGTTCTGTTAAGTAGTTAAATTTACTTAAGATTGAACAAAATTGATTTTCAGTGATATCTAACGCTATTAATGCTACTTTCTTAATATGTTTTCCAATTATCTCAAAAAATTTTTCTGCTTGGCACAAAACTATATCTTTTAGTTCTAAATTTTCATATGGTATCATAGTATTTACAAAAAGTTCACCGGGATGTAATTCATCTGATAGACAAATTTTAGCAAAAACTATTTTTGCCTTTGAAAAATATTCGGCCGAAGCTTCAAACCAACGGTAACACACCATAGATGCAACACATTGATCTGTGTAGCACAGGTGGCTTAAAATTTTAAGTATTATCTAAAAATAAAAGTTTTAAAAATTTGAAATACTCATTTTGTTTACTTACCTACTTCTGTAGGTAAATCTGCAAAGCTAGGCTTTGATTCATCAAAATGATCTGAATCCATTTCATAGAACTATACTTTTAAACAGTTTAAAGATTTGTCCTAGAAATTGTTTAATTCAATGATGATTCTAACAGTGCGCGTGACTTAAAATTATGTATCGTGAATTTATTATTATTGCGCAATTGACAACTCAATAGTCCGATTTTTTCTTCCTAACATTACTCCCATTATGTTAACTTTTTCTTTTCAAATTAATACAGCAACTTAAAATTACAATATTTTGTTTACATATAAAAATAAGAAATATTTTGCAACAATTTTATAATTATTTATACGTTTATTAACATTATTAAGGTAACCCTACACGATACATTTTGATCGGTTGAGTTGGATATAAAGTTGAGTGGTTCCATATAAAACATGTATTTTAATTTCTCAACAATTTGTTTAGTCCTCGAATAACTTTTTTGACATTTTTAAAAATTTCTTTGGAGAACTTTCGAGTTTAGATTAAAATTTAGAAACGCAAATTCAGCACAAATTTTTTATATTTATATGTGCTGCAAAGTTTCATGTAAAATTTCAGTCTGATCAGACTTTATCGCAGATTTAAACTTAGACATTGTCGTATATGAAAATAGTACCTTAGATTAAACTACGACCAAGTCTGATGACTGTTCACATACTAGATTGAAATCATTTAACGGCATTCCGATTTTACGTCAAAATTTAATAACTTTGCTACAAAAATTAGAAGTAAAAAAGAAATCAACTGATCGTGGTTTAAAACAACGTAAAAAATCAATTCCGCCATTTTACCTTTACAATGGCCACACATTTATTCGACAAAATCTACGATAAAATTCAAAAAAAATTCTACGATAAAATCTACGAGGACTGTTTACATATCAGACTAATATTAGGTCCCTATGATATAAAACTTGAAAAACTTAAAAAAAAACTATAACATCATTTCTCGCAAAAAGAAAAATAATTCTCAATTAAAGAAAAGAACCAGACGGAAAAGTTGAAAAAACTTTTTAAAACTTTATAAAATATGTAAGAAACGTCATTTCGAAATTCAAAATTTAAAAACATTTATCGAACTTAAATAAATATTTTTTAGTTATACAAAAAAGCGAAAATTTTAATTTTGGATTATAAAAGCGTGAATTTCTTCGGAACCATGAAATAAAAGTTGTACAGTTTTGCCAAAATCGTAAAAAATGAAATAACTACTTCATTTTTGATATAAATATTTATTACTTCATTACATATTATCTTATTTGCTTCATACATATTATATTATTTGACAACTTTAAAATCTTGATGCATTGTTATTTAACTCGATTGGTAACTGCAATAAGAAAATTTTTTGTTTTATTTTAATTTATAAATTTCTACTCATTTAACAAAAGAGAATTAGTATTGGATCCATCCACTTTATCTTGTAAAAATTTTGCATTAACTAACAACATTAAAAAACACTGAAAGTTGAAAACCAACTGAAATAAAACAAGAAGCGTCGAAAAAATTTTTGATACACGATTTAACAAGTATTTCAGTGTTAACAACGTCGCGGACACTACAAAAAAATAAATTCTGAACATTTACTTTTTAACATTTCACAAGATGATACAAAATAAAGTGTCTGATACGTCATAGATGCAAATCTAAAGAAACCCTCAAAAATTAAAAAACAACATTTTTGTGAATCCATTTTTGTTTCCTTTTTAATTAAAAAGTTTTGAAAAAAAATTATTTTTTGGAAAGCTTTAAGATTTTAAAGGTTTTTAAAACGCTAAATTTTACTGTAGAAGTTAATTTTTTCATTTTTTCAAGTTAAAAAACTTCATAAAGTTTTTAGAAATTTGATATTTCAATTTAATGTGGTATAAACGTAATAATAAGAGTAAAAAACACATGTAACGATTAAATAAGTACGCACCTGTAGTGTTTTTTACTATTTTTAATTTTTTATTTTAACGAGTATAGAAAGATGAACACATTATTTTATTACATAGTAATTTATTATTTGTTTGTCGTAGACATTTTCCAGAAAATTGGATTTTAAATAAAATATTTTCAAGAAGGCTAGAAAACACGCATATTCGTCATATTGAATACGCATAAACGGCAATAAACTATTAGAATTACGCTTTCATATTTTCAATTAAGCTGGATTCATTGGTTCGTCGTTTTTGAGCTGAGTTATTTGTAGTCGAACTATTTTTTCACTTGATTCTTCATTGGTCGTCTGAAAAAAAGCTGATCGTTTTTTTTACTATGATGCATTTATTACTTTTTTGACAAGAATTATATGTAATTTTAGTAGTTCAGTATACGTAAATTTGACGTTTTAAAAAACTTCCGCACTAAAGTTGAAATTGATTCAACTTTTGGAGAGAGAGGAAAAAAGCTGTACTTTTAATAAAGAGAAAGTAAAATGCAACAGCTCGCGAAGAACCAGCTTTACTGTTATTTAACATTACTAAAAAGATGATTACATTACGACATTAAACAGCATCTTTTTACTTACTTCTTCTATGAAATGAGCTTTACGATATTGCATCGAAATATCGATTATTTAAAATATCAACGATATTCGATCAGTATTCTAAAATGGGTGACAGTATTCTCATATCAGTGTTTCAAATATGTTAAAGTTTCTTGTAAGGAGAATTTTATATTGAACATTATTTTATCAACATAAAATTGTTACATAAATTATAAAATCAAAAATATGTATTCTATTTTTAGTTGACTTTCGGAGCGGGAGTGTATACTGGAATGTATGTTACTCAAAATTATGATGTGAGTGTAAATATGTCCTATAGCTACACGGATTAGGATTAATTCCTTTATCTTTTATTTAATTTTGATGGCTTTCTGCTTTTGAGAGTATTTAATTGTTATTGTAATTAATTTTAGGTTCCCAAAGTTAACGACCCTGGAAAAATTGTAGACCACATAAAAGAGTTGATTGAACAGAAAAAAAAATGAGATTTAACTGAGATTTCCATATCTTACTCGTTTTTTACTTTTGTATTAACTTTTAAAGCATTTAACTAAATTTGATCTAAATTAAACAGTAACAAATAACAGTGAAAATGTAGAAAATACGGTAAAAAATAAAGACTTTATTTATCTTAAATGTTGCACAATGATTATCTTTTATTGTAGCACTAATACTATTTTAATATAATTTTCTGCTTTCCAGCTTCCAATTTTGTTCAATAATAATGTATAATTTGTATAATTTAGGTTTTCATATAATGTTCATACTTATTTTTTTTTTTTTTCAAAAAATTTTGCAATAGATTTGTGGATTTGAGCATAATTTTCCGGATGAATAAAACTTTCTAAAATCCATCCAGGTAATTTTTTTGTTATTCTGTCATTGCTATAACGCTGATCAACTAAAAGAACTACGGCATAGTCATTTATATGACGAATAGAACGCCCAATACATTGATTTACTGCTTTTAAACATAAGTTTTCGTAATATTCATTTCCAGCATTTTTACCTAATTTTTCATTTAGATATTTCATTTTTTCTTGCAACTCAAACGATGTTTTATTCGGATAAGGTAAACCGACAACCATAACACATCTACCTAATTCATCTGAAAAATTTAAACCTTCACTCAGTTTGCCTCCAACAACACTAATCATAAAAGCTCCGTTTCGCGTTCGATCCTTAATAGAGTTGGAATACTGCGTTAATAATTTTTCAACGGAATTATTCATACTGCTTTTTGTTTCCCGAAACACGAATTTTTTTTTTTCGATGACTGTAAGGTAATTATTCCGTTTTAAATAACTCCAAAAATTTTCTAAATAATCGTATGATGGAACAAAGCATACAATACCAGCCGGAATTATATTGCTAATGTTACAGATTGTTTGAGCAAGTTCTTGCTGCTGTTTCTCATTACACCTATTTTGGAAGTTGAACAAAAATTTTTGCCCTGATGGTCCTTCACTAACTGCAATAGGTAATATTGATTCTTTTGGAACAACGTGACCATATATGTGAATCTTTACTCTTTGCATGCATTTAGAAAATAATTGCTCAACTAAATCATTAACCGGTTGCATTGTGCCTCCTGCTATTATTATTGAACGACATTCTTCTACTAGGTCTTTAAAATGTCTCGAAGGATTCAAAAGAACAAATTTCATTGATGGATTTTTATTTCCTTCCGTAGTATAAGTTATAATTACACCTCCATCATCAGAACATTCTGTCAAACAGTCCAAAAATGATATTAAAGGGCGAATCACTAAAAAGACAATGTAAATAAATTTTGTTTTATTTTGTTATGCATAAAAAAATTACCGTTGCTGCTATGATAATTTGATAAATCGGTAGCTACCTTTTCTTTTGCGTTTTCACTGGTTCTATCTTTGCTGACATCAACTTCTCCCTCTATTTTCTTTAGCAAGCCTTTTATACCGCTAAATTTATTTTCACTTAGTTTTTCATTACAACTTTCGCCGCTTGCTATATAATTCTTAGCAAAGCTGTGGACTTTTTCTGCAAAATGAGAATTTTCACAAAATTTCAATATTTCAAATATATTTATGTTAAAAAAATCCCCTTCAGACATTAATTCATGAGTTTTTATCATCTTTGACTCGATTTTACTTTCCTCACACATTATTTTTATTAGTCTCTTTACAATAAAAATTATTTGATTAATTTTCAGTAAATTATTTGTACTAAATTTATTAAAATATCTTTCCTTATATTTTGTTAATTGAACTAAAGCGGAGTTCAATTGAATTAAGTCCACACCTGCACTGTAAATATTTGATAATGTGTCAAGTAAATTATGCGCTTCATCCACTATTACAATATTATTTTTAAGGGAAATTCCACTTTGTAACCGTGTTGAGCGGTGAAATAAAATTTGGTAAGGCAACATTATAACTTGAGCGTCTTCAATTGCTAGTCTACTTGAATAATATGGACATGCATTTTCTTTTTTCGCTTCCAAAATCAAATCCTCAATGTCGAAAATTTCAGATATACTGGAATCTTTAAGATTTGTGATTCGTTTATTATTTTTAAAAAGACATTTTTTTATTTTAGCTGTTCGAGCTTTTTTTTTAGGAGGAGAGACAGATGTTTGTGTCTTAGGTTTCGATGCTCTTTGCATTTCAAGACATTTTTCGTTTATGAGATGCACAGAATTTAATTTGCAGACACTTTCATTAATACACAAATTTTGTCTAGAAGCCAATGAAATACACCGAATTCTATTTTCATTACTAATTCGTTTGATTTCACGAACTACTTGTGAAAGCTGTGAATGTGTTCTGCTACAATAAAATATTTTAATATCTAGTTGAGTATCATCTTTTTCAATTTCTTTGCTGTCGACATGACTGTCTGAATCTGACGTTTCTGAATCTTCAGAAATTTCTATATCTCCGACTTTTTTCTTTGAATTTTTTTCCTGTATGTTATCAGAATCAAAGTTTTCTTTATCTAGTACTTTTTCTATGATATTTCTAATTTTTTCAGTTTTTTCGTTTAAAATTTTGTTTGTTTTGATTAAATTGGCCAGTCTACCCTTTTCCTGTAGAATCCGAGATTGCGTTTCTATCCAATCTGTGCTTGAAATACTTTCCAGTATTTCAATGTCTGTTTTTGACTTTACTATTTGCTCTTGAATTTCATTCTTGACTAAATTTTCGTGGTCAACTAACCATTTTATACTGGATGCTGTCAAAGTTAAACTTTTACCAGTACCTAAAATTTTGTTAAATACATTTCATCAGCTCAATGTTAATTCTAGTGCTCAGGATTAAAAATATTAATTACCTGTTGGACTTTCAAATATTCCTATTTGCTTATTTTCTAAAATTGAATATAAAGATTTCATAAGCTCATTTTGAATTTTATAAGGTTCAAATGGAAATTCGAAGTTTTCTGGAATTATTAATTTACTTTTTGGAGAAAACATTTAAAATTTTTGAATGTTTCAATCTGCTCGAAAAATTGAGCGCGGTTTTGGGGCTTTTGGGCTAAAACAATAAATTTAAATTTGTATCATGTACTAAATACTAAAGCTCATGCCATAGACATAGTAGACTAGACTGGCATAATATAAAAAATATTTTACACCCAAAATTAAAAAACAGCTGAGTTTTCATTTTTAGATGCTACTGGAATACTTAAAAACTAAAAGAAATTTTTAAGTATAAAATTTTAAGCCGAGATCCACTCCAACAATACTTGCAAAATTAAATTCTGGATTTTCATATTATAATGATTATTTTTTTCAATATGTAATGTATACAAATATTTTATGCACCCACTTTGTTTACCATGGATTTTATTTTAATTTTAGTAAATGTTTTACTATGTTTAAATGCCTATAAAATTGAAGGTATAATAATTACAAACATTCCAGAAAGGATATTAAATAAAAATGTGTCCTGGCAAATCATAGATATTTTCTAATAAAATTAATTATTGAAAAATATTTGATAGTAAAACTTTTTCATCTTACTGAAAATAAAACAGAACTTTCAGATTTTAGTATAAAGAACTTTCAAAAGACTAAAGCTTTTTGGCTTATAAAAAAATACTTTTTATACTTCTTTTTTAATTCTATATTTTTATTTAAAATCAATTTTTCCAAATCTGTTTTCGTGCATGTGATTTGTTTTTATATTTAGTTTTTGTTTGATTTTAAAATAATGAGTTCTGCTTAAATTTAATTTTTCAAACGAAAGATATTTAAATTATTATAAAAATATTTTATTTTTACTTGAAAAAAAATGTTCACCTACAATTTACGCATGTAGAGGCCAAAAAAATTAAATAAACACGCTCCTGTTACGAATTTAACAATGGTTGGAACAAAGAAATAGACAACTTACAAGAAAGAATTTGACTTTATTGTTTCTTTTAGCATTTCCAATTCGTTGACATTAACCATCTATTTAAACTTCATGTAATCTATGATTTGCAGAGCACAAAACAGAGAAAGTAAACTAGACAGTGTCTTATTATAAACATTTCATGAATTAGAAATAAAAACAAAAAACACGAATATATTGGACATACATATTTGTATAATTAATTAAGTCTTATAAAAAGAATATTTAGTGTCATGCCGATTGTAATAAAAATGTAAGTGTTATTTTTTTGAAATTTATAATTTTAAAATACACATATACATTTGTGGAGGGAAAATATATATCCTTTTTAAAATACTAGTTGAAAAAGTCGTGTTGATCAGCTGATATATGCTTGTTGTGCTTGCTGTCAGCTGTCAAACGTTAGTAATTTTTTGCAGTAAAAGTATTGTGTTTCATTTTAAAAAAATTAATTATTGCAAAAGAAAAAAAATTAAATAAATTAAAAAAAAATGGGGCCACCAAAGAAGATGAAGAAGGATTACAAATCAAGCGATAAATTTGGTAATTTACTAAATGAAAAGTGCTTGTGATGTGAAAACTTTTAATTTTTTAGGAAAAAAGCGCAGAGCGGAAGATGAAGCGTATTCTCAGCTAGTGGAGGAAACCGATACTGATTCTGTATCTGAAAGTGATGGAGTTCCAGGTGCAGCATCAAAAAGTGCAGAAAAGAACGATGACGGGGTTCAGGAAGATGAATATGGAGCAAAAGATTATAGATCGCAAATGCAATTAAAATTAGACCATTTCAACAGACCTTTATGGGTAGCACCAAATGGGCATATATTTCTGGAATCATTTTCTCCAGTATATAAACATGCACATGATTTTTTAATAGCAATTTCAGAGCCTGTGTGTAGACCTGAACATATTCATGAATATAAACTAACCGCATACAGTTTATATGCAGCGGTATCTGTGGGGCTTCAAACAGAAGATATAATTGAGTATTTGAAAAGATTGAGTAAAACCACAATTCCTTTTGGAATAATCGAGTTTATTAAGTTGTGTACTTTATCCTATGGAAAGGTCAAACTAGTTTTAAAACACAATCGATATTTTATAGAAAGTCCACATCCAGAAATACTGCAAAAACTTTTAAAAGATCCTGTCATACAACAATGTCGATTAAAACGAGTTGAAGACGAAAATTCTGAAACTTTAATTTCTGATGCTATAGATAAAAAAAACATTCCTAATTTTGGTCAAAAACCTGGTAAATAAATTTATAATATGCACATGTAAATATCAATAAAGTTCAATAAAAAATAAAATTTTAGGAAATGGTTTACCAGCAGAAGCGAATGGCAGAGACAAACCTGAAGGTCAAACTGCGGTTCCAGATGATATAACAAATTTTTATGAAAAAATTGATAAAGATGATGAGGACGAAGATGAATTGAATGTTAATACTGTGTCATTCGAAGTAAATCAAGAAAAAATTGAAGTGATTCAAAAGCGGTGTATTGAAATTGAACATCCCTTACTAGCTGAATATGATTTCCGAAATGACACAGTTAATGCAGATATAAATATTGATCTTAAACCAAATGCAGTACTGCGTCCATATCAAGAAAAGTCATTACGTAAAATGTTTGGTAATGGAAGAGCCCGTTCTGGGGTTATTGTATTACCTTGTGGGGCTGGTAAATCGTTAGTTGGTGTTACAGCATGTTGCACAGTACGAAAAAGGGCTCTTGTACTTTGTAATAGTGGGGTATCGGTTGAACAGTGGAAACAACAATTTAAAATGTGGTCAACTGCTGATGATAGCATGATTTGTCGTTTCACTTCCGAGGCAAAAGATAAACCAATGGGCTGCGGTATTTTGGTAACTACATATTCTATGATAACTCATACTCAAAAACGAAGTTGGGAAGCAGAGCAAACAATGCGTTGGTTACAAGAACAGGAATGGGGTATCATGGTTTTAGATGAAGTGCACACTATTCCAGCAAAAATGTTCAGGCGAGTTTTAACTATTGTCCAAAGTCATTGTAAATTAGGTTTAACTGCTACATTACTTCGAGAAGATGACAAAATTGCTGATTTGAATTTTTTAATTGGTCCAAAGCTATATGAAGCTAATTGGTTGGAATTGCAAAAAAAAGGATATATAGCTCGTGTACAATGCGCGGAAGTATGGTGTCCAATGTCACCAGAATTTTACAGAGAATATTTAACAACAAAAACATCAAAGAAGATGCTTTTATATGTTATGAATCCTTCAAAATTTAGAAGTTGCCAATTTTTAATAAAATATCATGAGAATCGTGGTGATAAGACAATTGTTTTTAGTGATAATGTGTTTGCTTTAAAGCATTATGCTATAAAAATGAATAAGCCATTTATATATGGTCCAACATCACAAAACGAACGTATTCAAATTTTGCAAAATTTTAAGTACAACACAAAAGTTAATACAATATTTGTATCGAAAGTAGCTGACACTAGTTTTGATTTACCAGAAGCAAATGTACTGATTCAAATTTCTTCCCATGGTGGCTCTAGAAGACAAGAAGCTCAACGTCTCGGTCGTATTTTACGTGCAAAAAAGGGGGCTATTGCAGAAGAATACAATGCATTTTTCTACACTTTAGTTTCTCAAGACACTATGGAAATGAGTTATTCAAGAAAGCGACAACGATTTTTAATTAATCAAGGTTACAGCTATAAAGTTATTACACATTTGGCAGGAATGGAGAATGATCCGGATTTATATTATAAAACCCGAGAAGAGCAAGGTCAATTACTTCAGCAAGTTTTAGCGGCATCAGATATTGATTGTGAAGATGAAAAGTTGCCAGGTGAATCTGGATTTAGGAACATGGCTAGCGGCTCGAGTACATCAAGGCGTGCGGGAGGCTTGTCCTCAATTTCGGGGGCTGACGACGCTGTTTATTACGAAAAGAAAAATAGAAGTAATCATACTCACCCGTTGTTTAAGAAGTTCAGAGGATAGTTTAAAAATGATAAACTTCTACTTAATATTTAGTTATGTTCTTATTACGTTTTTACTAAATAAAATTATGATTTTCAATATATCACTTTTTGTTTTTCATTTTATCGCTAAATAACAATTAAAATTGTTTTTCTCACATTGTATTCATACTTCAAATATATTTTCTTTAGGCCCTCCCAAAGTAACGGTATAGCTGAATGGGCAATTGTAGAAATTCAAGGTGACTTAGAAGTCCGATCTGATGAATTAATGAATAGTCAGTTTATTGGAGACCTTTATTATAACAAATACGGGCAACCTGTAAATTACAAATGCTTAATTTTTATAAAGTTTATGAATATAATTAACGTGGTTGATTTCCAGATATTTATAATTGGACATCACATATTGCAAGGGCGAGAGCAGAAAATGGATAAGCCACTTGCAGTTCTGGAAAAATCAAAGACAAACCACGGTCTTTATTTAGATGAAACGGCTCAAGAAATTGATGAAAGTATTTTTAATGGAACAACTCCAGATCGAACCATATTGGATTCTACAATTGCTTTAGAAAATAAATCAAAGCAAAGAACGGAGTATTCAGTTAAAGCAATTGTAACAAAAAAATTAATTTTTAAATCAAGACCCAAGCCAATTATAGCCAATGTTGCAAAACATCATTAGAAAAAAAAAATATTAATAATTTTAACAAAAGTTTATTTTGAAAATAAAATAAATTTCCTTCAAAAAAAAAACATTCTAAAATTCATTGTTTTTTTCAATTTCTTTAACAGAGAAAAAAATATATAAACTGATTAACAATAAGAAAAATTGGCATCATTTTATTTGGGAACAAACTTCAATTGCTTGGTCAAGCCATAACGGTAATCAAAAAACAATTCTTCACCTTCCTCTATAAATCTTTTAGAAAAAATCCCGACGCGATGATCACCATTCACCATTTTGATTTTTGCATAGCAATTTGGATTTGTTGAATGATTAATAAAACGAACTTTATTCCCTTTACGTGTTGCATCCACTACATATTCACAATTTAAATTAAACAAATAACTGCATTTTATTTGGTCGTACGATTTTCCGCGTCTTTCAGCTTCGTTTTGTGATATCAACTCACCACAATACTCCATTATGAATTCATCCTTTTTAATACCGTACTTTAAAAAACATCCCCAACCATGAACTCCTGATCGTGATATGATAACTTCTTTACCTTTAATTTGAAAAAAATCAATTTTGTTGAAAAACGGTAGCGATTTTCACATGAAAACGGGGGCCACAAATACTTAAAATAAATTTCGAAAAAAAAGAAAACTTACGGAGGTTCCTCTGAATAGAAATATTTCTGCAAGCTATTAGCGATATATCCTGTTTCCAAGAACCGCAAGTTTTACACAAATCAGGATCACATTCTCTCAAAGCACCAAAACAAAGGCAACTTCTATTATTGCAAATTCCTTTGCAACGACACCCTGGAAAACGATTAAAACAGTCAATGCTGCAATTACAAAATTTTTCACAAAAATTGAAGGAATTTAAGCAGCTGCAGTTTTTTTTGGTACATTTTCCTATGTGATTACAAGGGATGTATTCATGGACAGATTTGTTTTTTCTCCCCTTGTGAATCATTCCAAGATTGTACAAAACTTGTCGGTAAGTTCTTCTCTTAATCACTGGATATTTCAATTTTTCATTATATTTTGATAATTCTTCAGCACAATTCTCAGCATATTTATATATTTCCTTACATGATTTTGTTCTTAACGCAACAGAAAAGTAACAGTAATTTTTAAGATAAATTGGATACAGAGCATGAAATAATGACTGCTCAGATCCCGTCCAGATTTCTTTGAAATTACTCCAGGTTTTCCATATTTTGCTCTTTTCCCGTTCAATCATAAAGCAATCGTCTCCACATGGAATGTCAGAACATTTCAAAGGTAAATGTATTAAACGGTTTGATGTCTCCAACAAATCACTTCGTGTCTCTGAAATGAATTTATTGTGCATTTGTAATCATTCATAGTTTCCTATTGGTTTTAGTTTTCGTGAAAAAAGGCTTTTAATTAAAGAAAAGTAGATTAAAAGAAAATATTTAAAAATATAAAGCAAATATATTTAATATTACATAAAATTCAAAAGTACAATGAATTAATAAATATGAATTATAAAATCCTGACATTCTACGAAAACAAATTAAAAATGAAATTATGTATATGAACAATGACAAAAAATTCATTCAATTCGCCACCAGTTCCAATTATGATTTCTAATTAGACGATTTCCATTTCTCTTTCAATTCCAACAAATTTCAACTGTTCCGTTGGTCCATATCGATAGTCAAAGAACAATTCCTCCCCGGGTTGTATAGCTCTTTTAGCAAATATTCCAATACGGTGATCTCCATTGACCATCATAACTTTTGCGTAGCAATTAGGACTTATAGAATGATTTGCAAAACGAATTTTATTTCCTTTACGTGTCGCATCAACAACAAAGTCATTGTTCAAATTAAACAGAAAACTGCACATGTATTTGTCGTAAACTTTTCCACGTCGGTCGGCTTCGTCCTGCGAAATAATCTCTCCGCAATATTCTGATATGAACTCATTTTTTTGGGCACTGTCTTTCAAAAATATTCCCCAGCCAGCTATGTCTGACGGAGCCATCAACAAATGTTTATCTACATGGATAGAAAATAAATAGAAAATACTTTTATATTTCACAATATTGTAATATAAAATAACAGTGATAATAAAGTAATTAATAACTTACGCATTCCTCTTTGGACACTGACATTCTTACAGTTAATTTTCGTCAAATTAAATTGGCTAGCTCCACAAAAATGGCATAAATCTGGATCGCATTCACGTACAGCTAAATAGCACGGACATTGTTTGGTATTACATTGAGCTTTGCAACGGCAACCAGGAAAGCGGTTTGCGCAATCACTTTTACAATTACAAAATTTCTCACAAAAATTTGATGATTTCATACATGGACAATTTTTATCACATTGGCCTTCATGATCACATGGACTGAAATTATAAACATGATTCGAACTTGTGTCTTTTTTAGATACATTGAATAATTTTCGACAATGTTGAGACCATGCGCGGTATTTTTTTTTCTTTTTTCTAGGTGGGGTATAATCAATTCGTAAATCTTCAATCGAAAAATCGAATGCTTCTTTTTGACTGAATTCATAAACTTGTTGACAAGTTTTCGTCATAATTGCTTGTGCTATTACACAATAATTATTTAAAAAAACCTTGTGCAATGCTCTAAATAATGACTGATCAGCACCAGTCCATACGCAATTTGAGTTAGTTGTATTCATCATTCCAGCTAAAACATAACAAGTTACACTAATTAATATTGATGAACTATTATTAAATTATGTACCCATAATGGAATTAATTTCTGCAGAAGAAGCTGAACAACCCGTTTCTTCTTTATTTTCGTTTTGAAAATCTTTACTATATTGGCTATTACTGTCGTTACTATCTTCACTACTTGCTTCATTTCCAGAATAAACTAAAGGAATCTTTTTATTATCCGCAGCTAGCTTTTCTTTCATACCATCCTTGAAAAATTAGTAAAACAATTTTATTCAAAATATTTGAAGAATACAAAGAAAAAACTGAATTATATTTATTTACATATGTATATAAATTTTTTTAAAGACAAAAAATTTTGTTAATACTCACTGCGATCTACAAATTAATTGTGCGTGCTACTTACCAATAACATATAACAAGCTAAACCACAAGGATCTGCAGATGGTTTTAATTCAGGAAAACGACGTTTTTGCAAATTTGGTCCTGGATGGCAAGCTTGTAATCCTAGTTTACAGAATATATATAACATAAGTTTAGAAAAACATTCGTTTTTAATATTCTTAAGAACGAAAAATTAACTTGCTGAGGAAGTAATGAATATAGTTAAAACACACCAATTAAAATAACAATGCCTGATTTTGTTATTGAGATTTAAATTAACAATACTACGTGTAATAAATATTGCATTAGCTAAATTAATTATTAATTAAATTATATTTCTTTATGATATGCAAATAGTAACAATTAAAAACTTTTCTTATGGAAATCTTTCTTTATATTAACGTTAAATAGTAAGACTTTGTATTAAGAAAATAATGGAAAAAGGAGAGAGTAAATATGTAACCGATTTATAAATAATTTTGCTTACAATACAGGCATCATTATAATATTTAAGCAACACCAACTGCAAAAGAAAATAGGGTATCCTTACAATATTCCAGAATTTTTTTTTAATTTACAATTGTAAAATCAAATACATGTAAAAAAGGATTCTAATAAATTTTAATTTTCAATCTTAATTTACCAATCCGCTGAACATTATTAAGTCCATTGGAATTCGTTGAAATTTCTGAATAATAAATATATATAAAGAAAAAATACAGTGAATTATATATTAAATATATATGTTTTAATATTATTTGAATTTTATCATGAATTTTCATATCTTTTAAATGTATTTTTTATCATGAAATGATCAAAAATGAATGAGTGATAATTAATTTTTTTCAATTTGAAAATTAATACTAGAAGAATGTAAAATCATGCTATTCATTTTTTTTATAGTTTATATTATATTTTAAGTAAAACTTCAATATTAATAAAAAAGTAAAATTAAAAAAAAAGCCAAAAACCAACTTTTCAAAGTTCTTAAACCAATTTTCCCACCATTGCTTCGTAGGTAAAAAATTAATATTTTTATATTGGCTACATAATTATGTATATTCTCCTTCATACATATTATGTAACTAACGTATGTACACTTTCATACTCAATATATGTACCAACATCCAATTAAAATAATAAATTAATATAATATGCACTTTTAAATAAACTTTTAAAGTTTGCGTCATTTTTTCCAGATTTTTTTTATCTAAATTGAAAATTAATTGTTTGGATGAGTTTTTGACATTAGTAAAATATCCCTAATTTTTATTTTGTAAAATGAAGGTGAAAAATGATTTTTTTATAATATTAGAGGTGTTAGCATGAATTTGAGGTGCAAAGAAGTTGAAATAATAAATAAGAAAAAAAAAAACTTCGATAATGCATAGGTAAGAAATTTTGTTGATGGTAGATGCAAATTATATTAACATTTACATAATATTATTGACCAAAAACTCACCGGGTATTTGGTGACCTTTATCATATACGTTAATGATAAACATGAAATTTTATATTCGATTAATTTTGAAAATTTTGTAAATGTTTTTTATATTTTTATAAAAGTTGAATATTTAAATTTTATTGTTGCATTTTTAAATATTTTTAATAAAACGGGAAAAGAAAAAAAAAAATAGAATATTTGATTTAGTATGTACTGTACCTAGTTATGTATAGATCGTATTCAATAAAATATCCTAATACTTACGATGTAAGAAGCAGTCATATTTGAAACATCTTCGGCAAAATAAGGTGTGAAATGAATGCAAAGTTTGTTCTCGTGAAACACTTTCCGCTTTTGGTCCATCAATGTTTGGTGTACATTCTTGTGGACGTTCTGGATCTTGTCTTTCAGTTAATTCAATATACCTGCATTAAAATCAATATAAAAGATTTAATTTTACTAAAAATTAAGACAACTTTTTACAAAATTACTTTTCTTTTAATTCTTCAGGAGTACCTCTATCCGGAAAATTACTGCTAATCGTATGAAATATAATCGGTTGCGGAAATGGTAATTTGTCGGCTTTAACTAATATATTTTCTTCTTTTACTTCGATTTCTTTTTCGACATTCAGTGTTTCTGGAGTATCTGCATTTGTTTTAATTGGTGAATTTTGTCCGTTGTCCTCCTTGGAACAGTAAGGTATTAAAGCATGCACCAATTCTACAAATATGGAATCATCCATAAAAGAGAGATCCTTTTCAGCATGAACTTTTCCATCATAATTTTTAATAAGTTCTTCAATAAATTTCCCATCTTGGTCTAAAACTTCATCGCCCATATATGGAATGTTATGTAGAACTGTTTCATCTTCAACCATAAAATTTTGTTGTATGGGTGCCCAGGTATACATTGTAGGAATCGGAGTTACGGAGTACATAACTCGAATTGGAATTCTCTGAATTTCACCTAAAATTTTATAAGTGGTTGAGATAATGCAGGTGATATTTAAAACTACAAAAACTTTTACCATCGCTACCAGACACTTCAGTTTTTTTCATACAATCTTCGTGAGGTAACTTTATTGGTTGAGGATCCCAAACAACATCATTTTCTTGCATTCTATCATATTCCTCTTCCAGTGTTTTCGTCATTTTTATCCTTTATATTGCAAATATTCAAACAATTACATAGATTATTTTCCTCATTAATATGCGTATTGCGGATATACACATGTGTTGGTATATAGACGCGTACTTACCAATTATTACTCCAGGCTACTTTGACTTCATCAGCTCTTTTAATTCGTTTTTGATGCCGTATTTTCATATATTCAGATTTCACTCTTCTTTTCCACTCCGCTGTTACTTTAATATCAGTCATTTTTTATTATTTCTTTATAAATGTCTTTATTTATTTACAAAATGTAGTTTCAAATGATTTTAAAATTTGCTAAGATTTTAGCGCGCCATAGTTTTTTTTAGTTTGTATTAGAGGTGGAGAACTATCTATGGCACTATTGATACTATCGATAGTTTTCAACTATCGATTTTTTAAAGTCGATATAATAGTATCGTCAGATAAACATCAATTCTTGTCAAGTATTAATAAATTTTGAATTTTATGAATTCCATAACATTATTTTCGTATGTGTACACATTAATTTGAAAATCAGTGAAATTTGAAATTTTTTTTTTTTTTATTTCTATGTTATTTCTATAGACGTGAAGTGAAGATTCCTTTTTTGGAATGAACCAGTGAAAAAATTTGCTAGTTCTGTCAAAGTTGAAGTTTAACAGACAACATGTGGTTCTAATGCCGAATTTAACCGAACTTTTACATAAGCGAGTTATTGGCCTAACTGTTTCAATGTAATCAATAATTTTACTAATATTCTAAAATATTTCAACTTGCCAGTTTATTGGCAACCGACAAAAATTTTTTTTTGCTTAATAAAATGAAAAGTTAACAAAATAAAAATATTTATTAAATGATAAAAATATTTTAAGTTAATATTATGCACATTGCAATGCTTGTGTGAGTCGCTAATAAATCTAATTACAGTTGATATTTTTCAAATATTATCATTTATATATGTATGTACTGTTTTATTCATTTGAAGTTTGGTTATAATAACATTGTCATGTATATAACACTATGACAAGTTTCTACATAAATTAAATGCACGCCACTGGTACATTATGCTATACAAAAAGTTGAGTTACAAAACTATTGATAATCGGGGTAGTTTTGCAACAATATATCGATGGTGCAATATATCGATAGTTGTACATCACTAGTTTGTAGGTATGCCAGAAAATATGATTGATGGTCACTTCCCACAAAATGTCATTGGTTTTTGTTATTACAGATTCAATTCCTTCTAAAATCGAAACAATTTGAAAACCGTTAATTATGGCAATATGACATTTAAATCGTAATTACTCCGGTTTAGACAAAATATTTTAGACGAGTTAAATAATATGTTGGTTGAGTTGAGGTCACTTCCGGCAAAAATATGATTTTCTTACTGTAAGTTTAAATAAGATCATAACTTAGTTCCTAACTTTTCGCATTAATATTTTAATAATTCTTTTGAGTTTAAAATGTTGCTTACCATTTCAACATAAAAGGGGTTTCTCAATTTAGTTTTAATCAAATTAATAAAAAATGCAGCTCTACAATGCGCTAAACTGAGGGAGCTTTGAATAAATATTTAAAGTTTTCAACAATATACTCAATCGACTTAAATTAAAATGTCAAAATTGAAATGCTATCGTATATTGAAAGAATTTTATGCAAACATGTTTCACCTGCTGACGTCAACGAATTTTCGTAAGTTTGGTTTTTTGACACTTTGCCTGACTAATTGGTTAAATTGATTACAAAAAGGTAGGTGGCGACTTTTGAATTAGCAGAAGATGGTATATGTACATAATTCTGTTTTATCAACAAGTTTTTAAATATTGCAAATAAAAGTTTTTTTTTATTTAGAAATTATAGTGGCGGAGAAATTGGATGTCTAGGAGTAGTTTTGGAGGATTTCAAAAAAAATCGGATTGAAAATATTCTGTTACTCAAATTTCAAAGTTACAACAAGAGGTTGTTCAGATGCTTTTTTCTCAATCGATAGATTGACATAACGAATAACGATATCCTGTTTGTTGCTTTGGAACTTACCATTTTCGAGTTATAGTTGTTTAAACATAAAATTTTGTTTAAAAATCTGAAAATTTTTCACAAAACTCTAATTAACTCAAAAAAGCCCGACTCATAAACGCGACTACACCAAAGAAAGATCCAAGACTCTCAATAATTCCGTTTCGTCAAGGGACCAGATGTTTTAAAAAAGTTTCAAATACATACTTATTTAAATTTTTATATATTCAAAAGCTAGAGTTGTTAATTTTTTTTATTTTGTTTAAAAATTGTTAATAATGCTCTTCAAAGAGGGACTTTGTCACTTAATATGAAAACGGCATTTTATTTCAACTAAGTGAATGAAGCGCCACGTTATTGACAAGTGTCATTGAAAAATTGTGGTTTTTCTGTGCAGGACGAGTTTTTGTTTTCGTTTTTAAAACAAAACTTTGTGCAATACTTATAAAATATTAAAACAAACATCTGAGTTTAAAAAAATAATAGTATTCAAAAGAAATATATTGCGATTTTCGTATATTTAATTGTAAATTTGCACTATCCAAACAAATTTTTTTGAGTTCAAAATGAGCTTAGCAAAATGGCTGTGGTAAGTCATTAAAAACTCATTAGTGAAGAAAAATAACCATCATCAAGGAAAATATTCTGAAGTATATACACTAGGCATTCTCTTTTGGTGTATCTATTAAGTAAAAATAACATGAAAAAAGATATTTCAAGACTTTTTAATAAAAATTTTGAACGAGACCAACAAAATCAATTAAATAACCACCATGGAGAAGATATAACGTTTAAATGTGGAGAAATATTCTTAAAAAATAATAATGATATGCTTATAGGATGCACCCATTGTAATGAAAAATTTGGAGTTTTTGAAAAATTTTTGGACCATATCAAATTAATACGTTCATCAGCCCAAAACAATTTTAAAGATGGTATTTAAATATTAAATACATTTTTATTTAAATTTTGATTTTTCATTATTTGTAGAACCTGATAAAATTAACGCAAATTCAGCTAATGTTAACCGAGTTGACCCATTTACAGTTGTGCATAGACCTCCAGACCCACCAAGTTATGATGCACCAGCTTATCAACACTTTCAACATCAGCAATATATTCCCGTTAATACATTTCATTCTGGCAATCCTAATCCAAGTGGAAGCAATACTGCACCACCACTTTACGCTACCGCTCAAAACTATGTCAACAACATGTACAGGAATTGTTATGATATTCCAGCATTTCCTCAGCCAATTAATAATCCTACTACTACCACACAAACTCAAAACAATAATACAGCGACTACAACTACAACACCAACAATGAATGAGCCAAAAGCAAAGCAAGAGATAACTGAACCCACAGTTGTGCCACAGAAAAAATATAAGTGTGATCACTGTCATAAATCTTTTAATCAATCTCAAAATTTGCGAGTTCATTTAAGAATACATACAGGGGAAAGGCCATATTCTTGTGATATTTGCCAAAAAGCCTTTTCTCATAAATCCAATCTAAATGTGCACAAACGAGTTCACAATAATGCAGTGACAAAACTAGAGGTAAAAGATTTTCAACAACAACAACATCAAATAAAATGTGATAATTTAACAACACCAATTGATCATAATAATCAAAATCAGCCTCCTGAATTCTACAATCGAATTCAACAGCAGTCGCAACAACAGCAACCCCCACAGTTAGATACAAAATTTAACACAGCAGCATCTAATGCCACTGAAATGATTCAGATTAAAAGAGAAGGAATGTATACTTGCGAATATTGTCAAAAAACTTTTAACCAAAGCCAAAATTTGGTGGTTCATAAACGTATACATACTGGTGAGAAGCCATATTCTTGCGAGTTTTGTGAGAAAAGCTTTTCACACAAGTCCAACTTAAATGTTCACAAAAGAACACATACTGGAATAAAACCTTATAATTGCGATTTTTGTGAAAAAAGCTTTTCTGATAAATCGGCTTTAATTTGTCACAAAAGATTGCATTCAGGTGAAAAACCTTTTAAATGTCGATTTTGTGAACGGGCCTTTCCAACTAAAAGTGATCTCAAACAACACGAAAATACTCACACTGGCGAAAAACCACATCAATGCGAAATTTGTTTGAAAAGTTTTGCAAACAATTCTAATTTAATAATACACCGTAGGATACATACAGGCGAAAAGCCGTATGTTTGTGACATCTGCTTAAAGAGTTTCCGGCATAATTCTAACTTAGTAGTTCACAAGAAGACTCATTTGTCATGGAATGCAACGTAATGAAATAAAAAAGGAAATTCAATGTGTTTTTAAGATTTATTTTAAGTTAAAGAAACAATACTGATTATTAATACACAAACTAATTTTAATTATAATCTTAAGCTAATTTTAATTTGAATAGAGTTTAATGTTAAAACTGCAAAAATAATAGACTTATTTTGTTGCCCAGTAAATGTTTTAATATTAATTACAAAAACGTTATACATAATACATATTCATATGCAGGGGTTTGTATTTAAATATTGCTAAAAAGATTACCGCAATTTTTAGATTTTAAAAACTTTCTCCGGTGATGCTTAAGTTATAAAAGTATCTGTATTTATCAATGCAATCTTTTGCAATATAAAATGAATGTAGAATGAGTACAATAGTAGTATGTACTCATTAGCTATTGGTGAGACAGTATTAATATTCATTGAACAAAGTTCTAGCAATTGTTTAAATTAAGCTAAGCTTATGCAAAATAATTTATTATGTTTTCATTTAATTAATGGTATTTTTTTTATACATAACGGAATCTTGTAGCAAATACTTTATTACATCCCCAGTAAAACGTATTTTAGATTAAGTATATAAGGCAATTGTAATTACTTAAATTGAACATGACTTCAATAAATATTTATAGCATATAATAAAAATTTTAAAATCTTTAAGCAAAATTAATTTTATTTAAAAGTTTTTTACCGCTTCAAATCGCGAACAAAAAAGATTGAAATAAAACGACTAATAGATATATTCCACAAGCAACAATATTTTATTTAATATATATATATATTCTTTAAATTAAAATAAAAAATCTAATGTGAAATTTTAGTACAAATAGGTTTTTTGTTTCCTATGCTTGCTAAAATAAACTTTCATAACTTATAAATTTTAAATTCATATTTATTTTCATTTATGACAAATATTTTTAATGACTCATATTTTTGTTATTGTTCCGAAATTTTTTATATGCAATTTTCCTTAGAATTATTATTTCATATATATAAGGTAGTTATATAAGATTAGCAATAAAATAAACTAAAAAAATAATTTTGATATTATGAGCTTCTACAAAAAGAACTATTGGTGTTTAAATCAAATGGATCTGTTTTCATTTTTTGTTGATTAGAATCAACTACACTATCAATGTATTGCACTCTATTAACGCTTTTATTTTCTAATGTATTAGCAACTGGGCTCCATATTTTAATTTCTTGATCAATACCGCTAGTAGCCAAAAGACATATGTTGGGATGTGGTTGAACACAATTAACTATCGCCATATCAGCTTTAAAAACACTTTTGATAATATTATTTGGCCTTTCCCATATAAAGAAATTTCCATCATCAGATCCAGCAACTATGTAATCATCTCCAAAAAAATTTGCTTCCTTAATATCTGTCGTTGTGTTGCAATGTCCAACAAACCGTTGTTGATAATCTTTAGCATTAATTCGGCAATTCCATTCAAAATCATTAATATCTAAAGGTAAGAAATCACTATCACTTTCGCTTCCGTTGCCAACATTACCACCTGTACTTGAATTGCTGTTCCCATTAGATCCATTCCCATTATTTCCGCCAACAATTGTTGATCCGTTGTTTCCATTATTGCTAATTCTTTCATTAATTTCCTTTTTTAACATCATAACACCATGATTTGACTCGTAACTTGGAAAACGTTTAATCAATTCAGTTAAACATTCATCTGCTTCTTTTGTCTTACCCAAAAAAAATAAAGCGCGCGCTAACCGAAAATGTGCTTTAATATAGGACGGGTCCAAATTCAAAGCTTTATGACAATCTCTAATAGCTGCATACACATCGCCATACCAACTGCGTCGCATTAATGCTGTAGCACGATTTAAGTATAATATTGGGCAAAATGGTGCAATTTCAATTGCTTCGGAATATTGATCAATTGCTCTTAAATATTTTTCATTTTCTAAATAATCATTACCCATTTTCTTAAAACTTTCGACATTTTCTGGTAGTTTTCGCTTTACTATAGTTATTTGGTCTTCGATACCACCTGACATCGTGGTTTCGTTGATTCCAAGTGAAGAAGTTTTATAATCGGGTAAGTTAAGAAATATGGGGTCTACAGGATTATTGATGTCATATAAATAAATATGTTCAGCACCCATATTAACTAACAACTCGTTTCCGTATTGGTTAAAAGTTAAATACGTAATAGCTTTAATATCACGCCCATGTAGCTTAGGATTGTTGTTATAATATTGACCTGGACAAAAATATGTTACACAGTTCTTTAAAGATTGATTGGCTTGCTGATCAATTGCTGTAAATTGTAAATGCGAATTTATAATGTTATTCTTTTTCTTTGTCCCATACTTACATGACGCATTACCATTAGCACTATTTAGATCTCGGACACGACGAGATCCAATTTCAACCGAATCCAGTCGAAGCATTCTTCTATCATATAATCTAGCAAATGCATCATTTGCCCCAACAGCTATTAATTCTGGGCGTCTAGGATTAACTGCAATGCACTTAGCCTCGGCGTTATTACTTATTTGTCGAGAAAGGTTAATTAATACAACTTTGTCATCTGATTTACAACGGTGTGGTTCTCTTATATCGAACTGCAAGATATTTCCGTCTTCGCCAGCTGACCAAAAATTAAAAGGAATGTCTGGTGCCGTTGCAAGTCTTTTTACTCTAAAATAATATATATAATTTTTTAGTTATTAATTTGCAATAAAATGTAATTTTACCTTGACCAATGACACTGACAACTCCAAATTGGAACTTCATTATTACGACGATTTAAATCAAAAACAAAAATTGACTTGTCAGCAGCTCCACTAACTATTAAGTTATTGTTGGTTTTCGGTAAAAACTTAACAGAGAAAATATTTCCTTTGTGAGGTGTATGCAAACATGCTATTTTTCTCTTTCGAAAAACATCCCTAAAATATATTTGTAAAATAACGAATTTTTTCATAAGTTGCTTACCAAAGAATGACTTCCTGATCATCCGAACCTGAAGCCAGAACTTGACCTGTGTCACTCCATTCTAAGCAATTCACACAGCCATTGTGACCTTCCAAAATTAATTCCAATTCTAAACGTTCTATATAAGGTTTACAAGTTTGTAGGCGATGGCAAACGATCGAATCAATATTCCCATATTGACGATCAAAGATTAGAGCTGTCGAATTACGTGTGCCCGGATAAAAACGCTGACTATACATTTTATATATAATTGTCTCTGAAATAGAAAATTCAAAAATTAACATTTATCAGTACATTTACTCAAATGAGTTATTGAAATTGCTGGAAGAGTTGGTTTATACATTAGTTCTTATACCAAGATAATCAATAATTAATTTATTGATAATTTATTAACCTGCGATTAAAAGCAATCATTTACGATAAGCATAATTATTTTTTAATTTCTGATATTTAGTTATTCGAAAAGTGTAAGAACTTTCAGCTTACAATTTTTTTTGTATTGAGCAACGAAATTCCCGAAATTTGATTTGTTTTGTATTTTTACTAATTTTTTGTATTTTTTTTCTTTTTTGACATTTAGTGTCATAATCATATGGTTAACTTTAAGTTTCTACTAACATAATAATAATCTAACTATATCGTACACCAGATGGCCATCTTTTCTTAAGTTTATTGGGAAACGGATGATTTTTAGACGTTGGTCTGTCCTATACCGGAATTATATTTTCAATTTTCAAAGTACATGGTACACATCAAAATTGTAATAATTGTTTTTTTCTTTTTCGAGTTTTACTTGATGAATGCTTTTATAAAAGAAAAACAGTATCGATTTTGAGAGACGGATTAAAATTTGAATTTTTTGACAGATTTGAATTTTTTGAGAGATTGTGAAATTACTCTTATTATTTAAATAGTATAGCATTGGCGAAATATAAAACAATTGAATTCACCCAATCAGTTTATGGAAATTAATTTTCTGCTTTGGTTGGTACATGCTATTCGATTCGGATTAAGTTTTAAAGTGACACTTGACAGTTGGAATAGGAAACTTATTTCAGAATTATTTTGGCCCTCTAGCTTTAGTTTTCGTTTTATTGCGTTCGTTTATATTTTGTACGTTTGTAATCTATATCGTTCGGCGGAGTTTTATTTGTGAATTGTGTTTTTGACAAAAAAATTTTGTTGTAAAAACAGAATTTATAATTTAGCTTTTTATACAATTCAAATTCAATTTAAGGTAAGATAAAAATAGCAGTCCAAAAAAGGATTGAATATTTTTGGTTGCTTAGGATATACTGCCGGTAATTTTTTTTTTTGGGTAGGTATGCTGATTCATGCAAAAAAGTTTTAAGCAAGGCGGTGATGTAAATACATACATACATTAGCATATACTTATAAATATACAAATCTACGAAAAATAGATTAAAATAATAGTAGCACTATATATTTAACTATTAATAATATGAAATAGCATAAAAATATTTTGAATTCTTTTAAATATCTGAAATATTTATTAAATTAGGGTGAATTTATGGATTGCAATCCCACAACTTTTAATATAAATTTAAACTTGTTTGAAATTTTTTAGTTATTGTGATAAGGATAACGCTTATCTTTTTTTTTTAGAGGTAGGTAGGTACATACTTTATAATCAGTAAGGAATTTAGCTCTAATTTATTAATGAAACTTAAATTTCACAGATTCATAAAAATTATACTTGCTTGAAGCTTGGCCAGTAGATAACTTATTTTTAAAATAAACGTTATAGGTACTACCTATCTAATACGAGCTATGTACATAGGTAGGTGAGTAGGTATAACTTTATGCCAAATGTATGCAAGTAGGATTTATGCCTTATAACAATAGAATTTGCACTTTTTTTAAGTTGTAATAAAATGATTTATATTTGATTTCAGAGTGAATACATATTTGTGAATTATAAGAGATTTTAAAATATAGTAATGTGACAGAAATCTTTCGTTGATTACGGGTCAAACATAAATTCATCTTTTCAGCTTTCATTAGACTTTCTTCTTTTCTAATTTTTGATGACAAATTTTTACAACCGTTTGCAAAATCTCTACTTCATCTTTTATGAAATCTAGTATGGATTCAATATCTTCTCTTTTATACTCTGGATCAATTTCTAAAATATTGGTACGTATATCAATATATGTAGGTATAAGTATATATATATATATATATATATATATATATATATATATATATATATATGTATATATAATAAGCAGTTTGCAACAATATTCTTACCATTTCTTTTACATAAAATTTTGTACATATTCTGTATGGCGTCCATAACTCGGTCGCAAGTTAACTCATTTTCGGCAATACAATCTTTTGTTGTAGCCATTAATTTTTCCCATTTAAATGATTCACTTCTTGCATCATTATATGCTCTTTCTAATTCCGTCAGATGTGTTGTTAACCCCAGGATAGTTAATTCTGCGTCGTTTGTTGCCTTTACCATTTTCTGCCTCATATCCTCGATAGATTTAATTTTTTCTTGCTCCAATTCGGCAATTTCAGTTTGCGCTAACACTAGGAAAAATTTTTTTTATAAAAAGTACTAAAACATTCAAAATATGTAAATACTCAGAGCATCACATCGGTCCATGCATTCCTTTACTGATTTGAGAATACCAGATTTGGCGACTACTTCCTCAATTACAGTTTCGTATGGCTCAAATTCCTTAACTATAACAGATAAATTGTCTCTAAAATCAGTCAATTCCGCAATGTCATTTTGAAACTTATTTATTTTATCTTTGAGATCTTGTTGTAATTTTAGTTGCATCTGAACTTTTTTTTCTGCTTTATTTCTTTTTGTTTCACATTCTTGTATAAATTGATTTATATTTATGAATTTTTCACGCAAATCTTTTTGAGTTTTATACATTTCTTCAATACGATGAGCATTTAAAATCTTTTGTCTTTGAGCACTTTCCATCATTTCACGCTGAAGTTTTGTCATAGCTAAATACTCGCGTTCATTTTTGATTGAAATTAATTCAATGCTATCGCCAACATTATCCCATTGCTGCGGCTTTCTAAGCGGTTAGAATAAGATTATTGAATATGGTTATATTTAAACAAAAATTATTTAACTGAATTGCGTTCAAATACATACAGGAAATATTTATCTTGTTGTTTCGATTCTAAATAAAATCCACAAGCTTTTTCTGGACTAAGCTCCAACTTCCCTATTACGTCCAGTTTTCCAGTGGGAGCTCTACGTGGCATGATTTGACTGTATTTATAAGAATAAAAGATGTAGAAGATATACAGGAATAATTTATTATTAGTAATTTTTTTTTTCAAAAATATTTTCAATATTTCTTGAGTTAAGAATACGGATTTAAAAATTTTCCTATTGACAGAAAATTTTAATATGTAGCTATTTAATTTTAAGAAGTTTTATCGATTTTTTTTTTAAAATATTGTTGCCAATGATTTCTTATGGATACCATAATACAATATTATTGTTTTATATTATATGGGACATAGATATATACATACATACATATATTTGTCAAGTTTTATGCTACACCAGCTAGTTTATTATGAATTCAAAAATTTATTTTTGTTTTCTTATAATATAGCGTCAAAAGTATTGTATTTGTCAATTTTTTACCAAAATTTTATTTTATTTTATTTCGAGAAATTCAGAAAAAAAAGAAATATTTTTTCGGAAGTTCTGTAATTTATCTACCAACGTATGCAACTACCTACTTAAAATATTATATTTATATTTTGAAAGTCTTGAAATGATGAGTTTCAGTTCTTGTTCAATATAGGTTTGGTATATATTTTTGGAAATTCCTTTCAAAACATTATACCTATATATTAACATATGTAAGTAGGATAAAAAGCAATAAAGTGAAGAAAATATACAATAAAAAAAATGCTCCAATATTTAGAATTATATATAAGAAAATACATATGCACATATGTATCATATCTCCAAATATATTAATAATATCTTGAATTCGTATAAGAGATTAAGAGAAGAGCCCATCATATGTAATTTCATTATGCCAATTAAGTTTTTTGTTATAAAAAATTGTTCATTTTCATATTATATATGCAACTGATTTAAATATGCATTGACTTTTTGCATGCATGGGCAAAAATCTATTATTTCTTGATATTTTTAATTAAAGAATAACTTAGAAAATACATAAATGTATGAATATAAAGTATGTAATGTGTTCATTTATATCTACGTACAATTTTTGTGCTTACCTTATTCGGGTTTAGATAAAAATAAGACTTGATAAGAATTTTTAATTAAGTGAATAAATCCAATTTAGCAATTTTTTTTTAATATGAATATATAGTAGTTTATATTTTTTAATAGTAAGTAAAATATCAAATATTTCCTATGATATATTTAATGCAAAGCTTTAATTTATTTCGATTAAAAAATAAAATTTTTTTGTATGGATCTGCATACATATTATGTATGAAACATGCAATGCACAAAGAATCTTATAATTTGATATTGAAAAAATAAAATTAAATTAATTACATATGTATGTAAATTCAAAAAATAAGAAAAATTTGCCTCGTTGATTTATTATATTAAAAAAAGTATTAATTATGTTAAAATTATAATTTTTTGACAGTTCAAATTTGTTTTGGAATAATCAAGTATAAAAATGTCGACTGAAAAAGATCCAGAAATTGAAGGCCACGATGAAAACGATGAAACTGCTGCTAACTATAAACCACCACCAGAGAAAACAATTGAAGAAATTATGGCAGCAGATCAAGAAGATGAAAGTTTAAGACGTTATAAAGAAGCTTTATTAGGTTCTGCCCAAACAGAAAGAATAGTTGTAGGTATGTTTTGCAATACCCAACTGCAAATTTATATCACTTAATTTTTATTGCCCCATGATTGTTTTCGTTTATATTTCAAAAATTTGTTTATGACATTTTTTTCTAAAACGAAATATGTGCATACATATCCATATAAAAATTAAAATCTCTTTGAATATTGAACATAACGTATGTACTTATGGCTTTATTATTTTTCTTTTATAATTTTTTTTTAGAGCCAAATGACCCAAGAAAGGTAATCGTAAAAAAATTAGCGTTATGTGTTTCCGGAAGAGATGACATGGAACTTGACCTTACGGGTGATTTAACTCAGCTAAAAAAACAAGTATGTTTTATGTTTAAATTAATATTATTAAATAATTCTATTTGTAATGGAAACAGCAATTCTTATTTATATATGTACAATTTTTCTGTTTATTTTAAATTTTGTAACAAAAGCAAAAAAAAACGAAACTACTACAAAATGTTATATTGTTTTAGGTATTTGTCATTAAGGAAGGTGTACAGTACAGTATTCGAATTGATTTTATAACGCAACGGGAAATTGTTCACGGTCTTAAATATGTTCAGAAAACCTATAGGCTTGGAGTACCAGGTAAAAAAATTTTATTTGTTTTATTTATTTTTGATTATTAGAACTTATAATGGCAAGTTCGTTTGCAAAGTAACAGACCGAAAAATTCCGATTTAATTTTTGTATATTTAGTAGACAAATTAAATCTTTTAAAATTGAAAGAAATGTTTGAAAATGCTTTATTTTAAGCAATGTATGCTGATGTTAGTTTTATGTCTAACTATACGTTTAAACATACGTATTATCTAACACTAGATTTATATTGATTTTGTTAAAAAATTAAGCTCAAATTTCAAAGAAATAAATAATTTTTAAAACAGAAGAAAGAATGCTTATATTTTGAATTTTCAAATTAATTTAAATTTTCAATTAATTTAAATTTTTGGTAATTTATTTTCTGAACTATTTCAAAATAATCTTTATTTCATTTGACATTTTTCTTTTGTTTATAAGTAAGTTTTGTTAATTTTCCTCACATCTGTAATAGTCGTTTTGTACCTATGTATATGTACTATATATTATTATGTATTTAGTTTAAGATTACTATTTACATATGCATAGGTTAAGAGTTACGAGCAGCAATTCAATTAACAAAATTAGAGGAAAAAATAGAATTTTACATATTTTCATCCTTGTGACATTATCAACAATTTTCGTTAGTTGTTTAATAATTGTTCTTTTTTATAATCGGAATGCTTTCAACTTATTGTGGATTTTTTTTATGTATTTAAGTAATGGGTAAGTAACATTGAGATGCTACTGAGTAAATCAATAGTTCTATTCGTGAATTATTTGTTTAGCGTATTGTTTTAATATAACGTCCTGTGTAGCGAAAAGCTATTAATATAAACACTTTACGTTCTCATTATTTATTTGTTTTTATTTTTTTTTTCTTATTTTAGTAGATAAAATGACGCACATGGTTGGATCTTATCCACCTAAAAAGGAAATTCAAAGTTATACAACACCCGCAGAAGAAGCCCCTGCAGGTATGATGGCTAGAGGTACTTATGCTGTAACATCTTTATTTACCGATGACGATAAAAATGAGCACTTGAAATGGGATTGGTCATTTGAAATAAAGAAAGACTGGAATTAAAAAGAAAATTGCTTATAATCTAAGAAGAAAAAAAAACAGCGCTTTCAAATATTATTGCGATAATTTTATAATAATCGAAACGTTATTTTTTATATGTTTATTAAATTAAAAGAAAAATATAGTGTTAAAAATTAATATAAGATGAGAAGGTAATTAAAATGAATGAAATGTATTATGAATATTTCTATGCTTTTAAAAGCAATTTTTAGCATTATTATTCAATATTAACGATCCAACTATTCTTATTTGTGTGTTAAATAGTTACTCAAACTAAAATAAAAACAAATTGAATTTCGCTTTTGAGTCAAACCTCATTTTTCCAGCTAGCACTTTTATCTGAATAAAAGCTCACAATATGTTTTTGTTTATTTGGATGTGAATCCAAATCTGTTTTTCTAAAAATTTGCATTTTATATTCATTTCACCATAATAAAGTCTTTTAAAAGATAAGTTAATGTTATAAAAAAATCTAACTGTATTTTATAAGTCCAAAAATTATAATGTTTATGTAGAAAAGCCATGAATCTTCTTTCATGAACCCCTATCATAGTTCTCTTTTTTTTATTAATAAATTTTAAAGCACTATTAGAGAACCAAGTCAAAAGCAATACATACAACAAAAAGTAAAATTACATGTTTAATTATTTAAAAAATATTTATAAACATAAATTGTTAAATAAGTAAGAAAATGTCATGTAAACTAATTTCATTATATTTAAAGAAGAACTGTAAGAAAAACGCCAAGTTACTATTGTAAAAATAAAATAATATGAAAGACTACAAGGTGCAAAATTCCAATTCTATTCTTTATATGTGAAACAGATTGAAAACAATATTATATATGTAAACTTCGAGCAAATTTTCAATTAGTTGAGATCACTTCATATTTTTTATTGATCTACCCGTTAATAAAATATTTTTAATTGTGTTTATATTAAATTACTAATTTAACTATATAATTTCATTAATTTTTTAAGTGTCGACAAATTATGCGAATAACTTCTTGAGTGCTCCTGAATATGGTTTTTGTAAAATATATTAAAAATTTTTGTTATTTTCAATTTTTTTTCAAATTTTATTTTAAATTATAATTTTTTTGTAGTTTTAGTTACTTTCGAAGCTGTTTTAGCTGTAATAACAACAGTAATGAAAAAATAATTTGTGAGTATATTTTTGTTCACAAAAAATTTAAAAAAATTTTGCTGGCATTCATGTTAATTTTATATTCAAAGTTAACGATTTTTAAATTACATAAAATAGAGCTCCTGTTCTCGATGTATATAAGATAGGTCTCTTAAATTCAAGTCAATTTTAAATTAGCAATAAAATTGTTGAAAATGCCTTTATATCTTCCAAAAACAAATATATAAAATATATGTATATGATATTTTAGCATTTACAGTGGTTGTAGAATTTATTAATATTAATGTTAGAATTTTAAACTGATAAAGAAGTGAAATAATAAAAATTGTATTTTTTTGTATTAAATTTATATAAAAAAAAAATTAAATATTGGAGCAAAAAAATCGCATTTCTTATAAAAGTGTAAATTTTTGCAAATGATTATAAAACAAAACGGGAAAAAATATAGTTATACAAGCATGTATTATAAGTATGTACGTATGTATATTAATATCGTATATGAATATTAACAAATAAAAACGTTTCTTATTAAAAAAGTGCGTTTTAATTTTCTTTTAAGCAACTAGTCTTTACCATAAAATCATTTAAAAATAATTTTTTTCTAATTTTTAATAGCAAGTCATAGTAAAAATACTGAAAAATTGAGCATGTTGTCTAAAGGGTAGCTTTGTTTTTGTAAAATAGTTTTGCGAATGTGGGCAATTGCTAATATGAACTACCTAGCTCGCGAATGGACTTATAACTAAAAATATTATTACAGCAATATATAAATAATTTAAATGAGACCAAGGGATTTATTTTACAAACTTACATAGCAGCTGTCCAAAATATAGTGCATGTATAATGTATGTATGTATATTTGTTTGGGTATGTAAACACATGTATAGCAATAAATTAGTGGCACAAAAAGCAATGGTTTTTACACATTTATTTTTCATGGCTCTATCAATTCAGATCATACGAGTGATCATAATTATTTGTTCCTTGAATTTTTTTCAAATTAACACGAAAGTATATTTCATAGAAAAATACCAACTGCTATTACAGTTATACATTTATTACTGCTATAACTATACATTTATTTACTGGCACTGGATTATAATGTGTATTTATTATAATAACATAAAAATATTTTTACAATTTTAAAATACTAATTGAATTAATATTATTAATTAATTGAACTTCGTTTCATATTTCTTTTTAGACTTAAATCACAGATTTTAAAAACATTAACGTCATTGCTAAAATTTAAATTTTCTGTCAGTTCTGACAGCTAGATTTTTAACGGATTTGGAATATAAAATATGGTTTGACAAATTGATAGCATATTATTTAAATTTGTTTTAAAAATGTGCTCAGAAACAAATCAAAATTTTGAAAAATATTTGACATGGATTCATTGTAATTCTTGTTGCGAGTTATTAGTTGATAAAAAACACAAACTATTTCTATTAAATTGCCAACATATTTTGTGTAAAAAGTGTTTAGATAAAGGTATGTATGTATGTAAGTTTATTAAAAACTTCCTTTTTTTAAATTGGGTTATTACTAAAATTTATTGTTAAAATAAAATTTATTTAAGTAAATTTGTGATTTGTCGTTGGAACTTAATTGAAATTTTCTTGATATCAATTACATAATTTTAACATTGAATAGAAAATTGGATTTTTCTGTGGAAATGTGGAAAAGTAGAAAGCACGTAGAAACTTAGTATGTACTTTTAGATACTACATACATACATACATACATAGGTAAAAATGTGCCTGTTTTGAAGTTTAAGAAAGAAATTCTAAAATTTTCTTTGCTTTTTTGTAGATAATTTAGTCTTTATTAATTTTTTCTTTTAGTTTCAAATCAAAATGGTACGATTTGTCCAAAGTGTAAAAAACCTGTTAATTTTGTACACATTGATAATAACATGCCAAGTCAATTAAAAAAGTACTTTAAGCCTGATGCATTTACCAACTTGTCATACCTATTTGATGTTCTTCCATTTCAAATAAAACATCGTGATCATTTTTTGAAAATATGTGATACATTAGTAAGTTACCAAATGTATGTTTTCCGTGCACTTACATTAAAATATGTACGTATATACATATGTACGTAAGAAATATACAGTGGACATGAGTTCATGTATTTTAATGCATAGGGTTTTAATTCCGTGTACAGAATTACATTAATAATATGCATAAGTATTTTTATTCATATACATATACTTGTAGATTTGTAGAGAATCTACAATTAAAAAAGTATACTTATTTTTGAAATACTTTAGAGAGCTACGCATCTAAATTTGGGAGAAAGTCTTCGGAAAAAGAATGAATATTTATTGAAACTTAATGACGAACGAAAAAAATTATCAGATAAACGAAGGCAGTACGAAGAAGCAATTCAACAATATCATGTTAAAAGAACCTATATGAGTCCGGAAGAAATTTTAAGAAGAAAGTAAGTACCTAATATGTTCATATATGAAAACACAATAGATTTTAAATATCATTTATTTAAAAATACCAATTAATATTTTTTGTGTTGGAAGTTTTCATCACTTTATTTTTGTGGAGCAGCTAACATGAGAAGATGAAAATAAAAAAAAATATTAGTGCTTTGTTGCATGCTTCATAAGTTTAAAAAAAAGATAGGTTTTAAAGTTCCACATTTCCGCTGTGTATATAATTTGTGTATATAATTTGTAGTGCTATACAGGACAGAATTTTCGTAGTCACATAACAAGCTACTTTTTATTAAGTTTTTTAATTTGAAATAGTTACTCAAAGAAAGTAGTTGTATTGTGCAATTGCAAAAATTGTTTCTGGATAGCACCATAAGCTATATACAAAATGGTATTATACACAATAACTACAGATATAAATGCAAATAGATAAATCTAATTGAAGAAACTTTGCTTAAGCGGAATACTATATGTGTGTGTAGTCGCACATGTTCCTAACAATTTTAAAGCAGGCAAAGTTAAATTATATAAGCAGTTACTTTTTTGAAATTTTCATTATGTTGAACAACTTCACTAAATACACATATGTGTATGTACTCGTATATGTACAGGTATCCCTCGTATAACACGGCACTTGTATAACACGTTTTCGATATTACACGGTATAAAATTTGCGACTTTTTTAACACGATTTTCGATATTACACGGAAATTTTTTTTTAAATTTTGATATTCAACACAACAAAAATGGGATTTCCCCTAAAAATAATAACAAATACTTAAACATACAAAATACATTTCGTAATATGTACTTGAATAATTTATATTCTCTGTCAAGCCACTTGTGTTTTTCACTTTGATAAAGCAAGATCGTTCAAGTTTCAACTAACTAAAGGAAAATATTAATGTCAAATATTTTAATTAATTCTTATCTACATAATTAAAAGTGGTATTTATAAAAAATTAAATAAATAGAATAACGTTAATCCTTTATGTTTTGTTAAAGTATACATACAAAGTGAATAATAAAATAACTTTCTCTAGAGTGCTTGTCTTTGTATAAAACAATTTATAATAATTTCAATTCAAGGTAATATTATTCAAGCTTAAATGTCACAATTCGCACTTAATCTATATTTTATTTAACCTTAAATTTAGATAATGTCTGGCAAAATCAAGAAACAAATATTTAAACGAAAATTTATTTCCCTCGATACGAAAATAGAAATTTTGAATCGTAAACAGTCTGGAGAAAAAAACGCAACAATTGCGAAATCCTTAAATTTGAACGAATCTACTATTAGAACTATTTTAAAAAATGAAAGTCAAATCAGACAAAATGTGGCCGCTGGTTGCTCGCAAGGTGCAAAACGTGTGAGCAGAAAGCGAGATATAAATGTCGTAATTTAAAAGAGATCTCAGAAGTTGCTTGGGTCCTTATAGAGAAGTTTTGGCCCAGTTGCAATCTGATTTTGTAGCTGCTTCATCTGATGAAGAAATAACTAGTGACGAGGATTTTCAAGCAAATATGAAAAAAATTAATACTAAGTCACGGGTCATTTTTGATGACAGCGATGATTCAAATTAATCTAATGAAATTGTTTCATTACGATTTATACATTATGAATTTATATTTTTATTTTTGTTCGTTATTACTTATGATTGAATTTATTATTTATTTATATTAAAAAAATAAAGTTAATAAGTTTTTCATTAATTTTTTTATGAAATTTCAGATTTTCTAAAATTTACCTCTCGATATAACACGGAGCATGTTTTCGATATTACACGGAAAATACATTAGTTTTACAGTCTCGTTTAACACGGTTTCGATACAACACGGTTTTTATATAACACGGTCTCGATATTACACGGACAAAAAAATTTTCTTGAATTGATGTAATTACGTTATTTATTGTACCTAACAATATTATGTACATAATTTGTTATCTTTTTAAAAACCTCGTATACCACGGTTTCGATATAACACGGAACCAATTAACCGTGTTATACGAGGGATACCTGTATTTCAAAATTTTGGTTTTTTTTTTATTAGGTTTGTAATAATTAACAACGTACAATATTGGTTATGAAGTTCTTTTAAAACTTTAATTTTCGTTCCGTTTTCTAGGATAATCACTTATTACTTAAGTACTTTAGAAATACATAAACGTAGGTAAGCATAAACATAAAATTTTTAAAGATCTATTATTACTAGTTGCTTCTAGGATATTTCAATTTAAAATTCAAATTAAAAAAAAGCTTAATTTGTTTTAAGTTGGTTTTTAATATTTTTTGTTGACATTTTTTGTATACAACTCTAGAATAGAAGAAAGGTTTTCGCAATATTTTACAGTAAAGCTTTTTATAAATTAAAATTTATATTAAATTAAAACATATAATACATGGCTAGTTATAAGAATTTTCATAATCACCTAGATGAGATTAAAATTTGCAGTTTAGTATTTAAATTCTTGAGATGGAACTTTATATCGGTAACCATCTTCATCCAGAGTATGTGAAGGTTCTGGTTCTTGTTCATTACCGTAACTGGGCTGGGGTCCAAATGGACCGGATCCTTGAGAGCCAGGACCTTGTCTTGGCCCTTGTTGTGGCCCTATTTGTGGTCTAGGACTTGGTCTTGGTTGAGAACCTGATGTTGGTCTTGGACCTAAACTGGGCTGAGGTCCAAATCCTGGTCTTTGACTAGGTCTTGGTTGAGGACCAGCATTTATTCCAAATTGGCTATCGGGACGTTCATCTCCTGGGGGTAGATATTCATTTTCAGGTGCTGGTGATGGAAATTGAGGTCTTGGTGATGACGCAGCGAATCGCAATCCCGTAGATGGTGTTGGTGATGGGAATTGGGGGGAAGATGGGTATTGTGGTGATGATGGAGATGATGGATATTGTGGTGCCGATGATGGTTCTGGTCGAGGTTGAGGTCCTGGTCTTGCACTTGGGCCTGGTCTTGAACTTGGTCCTGGTCTTGAGCTTGGTCCTGGTCTTGAGCTTGGTCCTGGTCTAGGGCCTGCTCCTGGTGTTGGACTTGGTCTTGACTGAGGGAAACCTCCATCTTGGCTAATATCGTTATCAGGTGGTAAATATTCTCTTTCTACATTTGAACCAGGTTGCGGTCTTTGTTGTGGACGAGGTTGAGGTCTTTGTTGTGATCCTGGATATTGTTGGGGCCGAGGTTGTGATCCAGGTTGAGGACCTGATGAGCAGCCTGCACCACCTATTGCTCCTATATTTCCAAAATCATTTGCTCCACAAGGCTCTTCGGGCTCCCCATTATTTCCACTAGGTCCTTGTGGTTGACCATATGATCCAGAACCACTGGGTCCAGATACTCTTGGACCAAAGGGTTGTTTGGGTCCAGAGGGTCCGGTTGGACCGCTTGGTCCTCTTGGTCCGGAAGGTCCACTTGGACTACTTGGTCCTCTTGGACCGGAAGGTCCACTTGGACCGCTTGGTCCTCTAGGTCCGGAAGGTCCACTTGGACCGCTTGGTCCTCTTGGTCCGGATGGTCCACTTGGACCGCTTGGTCCTCTTGGTCCGGAGGGTCCACTTGGACCACTTGGTCCTCTTGGTCCGGCATGGCCACCAGAACCGATTGGCCCTCTTGATCCGGAGTGACTTGGACCTCTTGGTCCTGCGGGACCACCTGGGCCACTTGGTCCTCTGGGTCCGCCGTGACCGCTTGGACCATCTGGACCTTCAGGCTCCTCAGAGTCACATCCTGGACCACTGAATCCACCTGGACCACCGCAACTTTGGGGTCTAAATCTGTAATAAAAGTTTCAAATTTAATTAAAACAGAAACTCAAACAAATACATTTATACATACGAGTATGTATGCTAGACCATGGAAAAGCAACATACACAAATTTAAATTAAAAATTTTATATTACTAACCCAGCTCCACTATCAATGCTGTTATCTGGTGGTAGGTATTCCAGACCAGGACTTTGCGATGGTTTTGGCCCTGGACCTAATCTTGGGCCAGCACTTGGGCCTGGCGTTTGTGGGAAGCCCGTTGGCCCGGTTCCTGGTCTTGGTTGCCCGTGAGCTCCTTGGCTTGATGAAGGTCCATGACGACCTGGTCCCTGAGCTGGTTTTGGGCCTTGTCCTTGTGGAAATCCTGTGCCTGGTCGAGCTTTTGGTCCATGTTCTTGTTGAGATCCTGGTTTAGGGAAGCCATGTCCACCATCTATATCATTACTATCTTCTGGCGTTAAATAATCCAAATCGGGACTTTTAGTTCCTGGAGTTGGAGACGGGAATGATTGCCTTCCTCCACTAGGTCTTTGGGAGGGGAATGATGGTCTACCACTTCCAGGTGCTGGTGAGGAATATGATGGTTGGTCATCTCTGGATGAAGGCGATGAATAAGAGGGTCTGTCTCCTGATGGTGTTGGTGATGGATAAGATGGTCTACCTTGTCCCGGTGCTGGGGATGGATAGGAAGGTCCTCCTCCTCCCGGTGCTGCTGATGGATAGGAAGGTCTTCCTCCTCCTGGTGTTGGTGATGGATAGGAAGGTCTTCCTCCTCCTGGTGTTGGCGATGGATATGGTGAATGCCCTTCTGATGTTGGTGACGGGTATGGTGAATGGCCTTCTCCAGATGTTGATGATGGGTACGATGGCGAATGCCCACCACCTGGTGTTGGTGACGGGTACGATGGGCTACTTCTTCCGGGAGTTGAGGAGGGATATGATGGTTGATGTCGTTCTGGTGCTTGTGATGGTTGTGGTAAACGGGATGATATTCCAGATTGCGATGGTCCAGAAGGGAATGGTACTGAAGGTTGTTGATAATGATAGCCATCTTCACGCAAGTCAGTATCCAAATGTGATACATCAGCTCGTGTTATGGCTATTAGCATAGCTAAAGCCGTCAATATCTTCTGAAATATATAATAATATAGAGTTTTTAAATTAAGCTACGTATGTATATACATATGTAAAAATAAATTATAAAATTAAGTATGTATGAATTTATCAATAACATAAATTATGAAGTTTTTTAAATATTTTTTTATGACATTTTTTTTAAACGGGCCAAGTTCAGTTTCTTAAAAATTTTAAATATGTATGTATATAAATATGTATACATATTATGTACGAGTATATATGTATGTATGTATATTTGTACAAAGTAAATTTTACGAAATTTAATATTACGAGGTTTCAACTTAAAAATTAATATGTTTGCATAGGTATATATATACATAATTAAAATTAACTATAAAAGAATAAAAATGACTGAAAGTCTATTTTAATCAATTAGATTTTTATAATCATTATGGTGAAATATATACATATAGGCAAAAATTTCAGCATATTATAAAACAAAGATAAGGTGATGCTAGCTGATCATAAAATATGTAATTGTTTACTTATGAACATGATTATTGGTTAAGAAATTTATTGATAGAAAATTATTCTTAATAAGAATTGAAACTTATTATTTGACCTCGGATTTTTTTTTTCATTGCTCAGTATAGTATTCTTGATTTTCATATGTAATTTCTATTATGTGCATATAATTGGTAATTACCTTGTATTAACATACCTACACAAATTATGATTACGCGTTATACTGTCTATATTTTTAATATTAAATATAAATTGCAATTATAATTTGATTACCGAATTATCCACTATGTATATTGCAGTTTGTGTATGTACGTACAAACATATATGTATATAAATATGTAATGAAATTATGTGCTGATTACATTATTGTGAAATAGTGAAGTAAATATTAATTGTGAAAACTATTGCTTCATTTCTAATATGAAATTCAAAATTTTGTATTTCTTCAACATTTGATACAATTTGTATAATATTCATATATAATAAATTATTGCTTGTAAGTTCTAAGATTGAATTTTAAATTGAAAAATATAAAATTAAGTTGAAATATTAAAAGTTTTTATTTTATATAATGTAAAAGTAGTCCACCATTTTTAGACTGTCCCATAAAACTCATTTTATATTTTTCAGGATTCTAAAACTGTAATTAACTGTAATTTATTAGTATTTTATTGAAATTTAAATGTAATTCTTTATTATTCCGTTTAAAATACTTGATAATAATTTTATTGCTGATTTCATTCCTATAAAAATATAGTTTATTTGATTTCAATAGTTATTATATTATAATTTATAGCGGAAATTCATTTTTTTATTTTTAACTAAATCAATATAATATGTACATACTTACATATAATATATTTGCACAAATATAATAAATTTTAATTTTGAAATCATAATACATTAAAATTAATATATTGCGTATGCTCAATTATAATACACTTTTATTGTTAATCGCTTGCCGCGTTTGTATTAAAAATGAATTAGAAAAACAAACATAAGAATTACATCCATAACGTATGTATATGAATATAAATTTGAAATCTTTGAAACTTTTTTAAAACTTCATTCTTTATTTCAAAGTGTAATAGATATTTTTAAAATTAATGTATCTACATATGTAAGAAAAATCATTGTATGCACCAACTGCTTATGCTTATTACATGCTGGTACATGCTATTAAAATGTAATATGCATATGGTATAATAAATTTAATATTTCATTTGTAAGATTAATTTGGTCATATTTTCTTAATTGTATGATTAAATTTACCATCAGTTTGTAAGCTTTTTCAATTAGACATAAAAAACAAACAAAAATTGTGATGAAAATAAAGAAATGCCGAGTTTTTAAAAGGTAAACATTATACATACATACACACGTATTAATAAAGCCTATAAAAGCAAGAAACTAATATTGCAAATATTCAATTAGTTTTGTAAAAAAATTTCAAATATAAAATTGACTTATAGAAGAGTTAAAAAAAATGACAGAAGAAATACTATGGTGTTCGCTTTTTCAACTAGAGCTCTTAATTTACAAAATATTTTATCAAAGACTCAATCCCTGATCTAAGAAACAAAAATCCTTATAATAGACTTACTACATATTATTTTAGACAAAAATGATCCTATAATACTCTGTATAACTTCAACATTTTAAGTATTGGTTCTCACTTAGATGACATTTACATGATGTTTTATTGTAAAGGAAATGAAAAGTTTTGTTTTTTTTTTGTAAGTTTGTTAAATGCAAAACGAAAAGTAATGTTGATTCATTACTCTTACAAATATATTGTCCATTATTTACTTTAAGTCTTAAATGTATATTTTTATATATGTACATATACATACTCGTGTAGACATACGCGTTTAACGTTATTGTGATATTGTAAGGAAATTAACTTAAAATATTACTTATAAAATTTATTTTAGTTTATTGAAAGTTAATTGCGGTTACATGTGATGATTGAAAATATATGTATGTATGTATATGAATATGCAGATGTAGCTTAATAGTATTTCAATGCAAATATAAATACATATTCATATTATAATCCGTTTAAAAAATTCCTTTTGTAACATTGTAATTTATGGGTGTATAAATGATAAATTACATTGTCAATTAGAATATATTTTTAAGATCAAAATTTAATATGTATATTTTATATTATTTTATATATTATTTTATAATATATTTGTATGTGTGTAGAAATATCTATTTTAATATCGCTCAAATGAAACTGAATCAATGGAAAATTCGCATCAAATTGGTTAAGATTTTATTTTTAATTAGCAATAAATATAGTTATATATGGTATTTTTGTGGTGCTAAGGACATCTAATTGTGCGGTTAAGTTTTTTTTTTCTTAAACGTAGTTTTCATATAAACTTATTTTATATAAATGTAATTAATACATAATATAATTCTATAAGTGTTCTGAAGTTTGTTTTAGATCAATACAGTGTCCATTTGTGGAGGAATTATATTCTTAGAATGAAATTTTCTCTTCCAAAATATTATCTACATATTTAAGAAAATACAATATAAAAAAGTTTTTTTTATAAAAAAAGTTGAACCCAAAATTCGAGCCACCAGTAATCAAATTTGGTGACCAGCTATATGCATTTCAAACCGAAATTTTTTAACGTAACTGGCCACCTCATACTGACATTACAGAGAAAAACTTTTATATAATTATTTACATAGCATAATATATGTACGTAATTAATTTTTAATGGTGTAAATTTTATAATTATTTACAAAAAATTTAATTTTAAAATCTTTTATCAGCAATAGAGAAAAATTTAAAATTAGATTTTTTTTTATAAATTAATAGAATTAAATATTAATTCACCATGATTATCGAATAGCTAATTAAATTTAAAATGAATAGAATATTAAACAAATTATTTAAAAATAGAAATAAAATTTTTGAAAATTATTAAATAATCTCTAATTTTTTTTTTTAAATTTTTCTTTTATTTTCTTTTAATTTTATCACAAGTATTAATGTCACCACAATAATATAATATTGTTTTGTGATATAATTAAGTGCTAATTTAAAATATTTTGAATTTGAAGAAATTTTAAGTTTAGAATTCCGGAATAATTCCGGAAATTGTGCTATATATATCATTGTTATTTCTATATATAGGTATAAATAAATTTATGCTGTTTGTTTTTTTTAAATAAAAATAAAACTTTGTGAATTTTAATGTTAATTTTTTAAGTAATTAAAAAAAATTAATTAATACCAAATTATTTCAATTAGAATAATGCTTCAAGTTAAAAATATTTAACACTTTTTGTTTTTCTTTTGTGTATAATATTATTAATAATATTATCAAAATAAATTTTTAAAATAATTTTTAAAATTTTTAATAAATTTCAGTATATGTAAATTTATTTATATTATATATTTATACATACATTTGTTTGTATTTTAAGTATATTTATTTTTTGAATTTTTAAATAATCACTAGACTAGCTGACAAGTTTTAAATGCAATTTTTGCATTTCACTATAATTTTTGTATTTTAATAATTATATTTACATTTACCTTTTAATTTATTAATTTTTATTTAATTTTTTTTTATTTTAATTTTTAATAAAACAACACATTTTTATTAAATCACATGTAAAGCTAAACCGACTTACCATTTTGAAAATTTTTTTTTAATTTCTTTAAAACAAAAATATTCCGAAATTTATATGTTTGGTTTTTTTTTATTTAATTATTAATTTTTTTTTTTAAATTATAATAAAAATGAAATATTTTTATTTGTAAATATTAAATAAAAGAGTTAATATCCAAGGAATTCTAAATCTATGGGGAAGTTAACTCTAATAAGTTCAGTACGCGAATGCCTGTCCATTTGTTCTTCGTTAAGGTTTTTATACTTAAAAAATTTTCTATGATTTTTTTTATTTTTTATTTTTTTTTGCAAACTTTAACTTTTTTCTTACTTTTAATTCTGATTTGTTTTAGTTTTTTTTTTTTATTTTTTTCATTTAGTAGCTTTCTTATTGCCTTTTGAAGAAAAACCTGTAACTTATATTTTTTTTTACAGTGTATAAAAAAGAACCAAAAAAAAAAGCTAATGAAGTTACTAATATAAAATAAAAAAAAAATTAAGATGAGATAGATGGAGGGTTAAATTTAAGGTAATAATGAAAATAGCAATAATAATAATGGTAATAAGAATAATAATAGCATGAAATATAAATGATAAAAGTGATGGTTATGTTTAGTATGGTGATGATGGATGCTGGCTATACGGATAGGATTTTAATATACTATCTTATTAATGTAATATAAAGTATTTAATAAAGCTGCCAAGTTTTGTTATAGTGTACGAGTATATATGTTTACTTATAAAGGTGACTTAACTTTATTTCTTCTTAATTTTTATGTTTATAGTATATGTAAGTATGTACATTATTTATTTATTATTTAGAGATTTACAATATGTATAAAATGTGTGTATGTATGTATGAATCTATAAGATTTTTGCAACATGTGTCGCTATTCTGAGGGGACCGGTATGAGAAAATCAAAAATAAAATATTTTTTTTCTTGGTTTTTTTTTTTGTATTTGGAATTGATAATATTCTTATTGTGATTATAATTGTAGTTATTAAATTACAATATGATTTTCTTGTAAGAAAAAAAAAATATATTGAAATTGAAGTTAGGAATCTTTATTTTACAAGTATGTATATGTACTGAATCTAAAAAATAATTTGAACAAAAAAAAAATATTGAATTTGACAACTCTTAAAGGTTTCATTCTTAAAGCGATTACATGAGTCTTCTTTACAAAATTACAGATAAACACAACATTATTATATTTTTATTTACTTAAATATCTTTTAATGATAATCTTGGTTGTCACTTTGCACGTACATACATAGTATACCTTTAAAAAAATCTTCTTTATTGTCACTAGGAATATTTTGTAATGTGATATACGAAATTTTGTCTTATAATTTTAATTATTATTAACTATATGGGCTAAGTCTTTTTTAACGTTAAAAATATTTTATGAGAAGATCATAATATTTTTAAAATTTTAGAAAAGTATGTAGATATTATAATTTAATTTTCAATTTGGGGAAATTTTTGTTTATAAATTACATAATCTGGTTTGATCCACAAAATTGCATATTTTCTTTTATATATACGAGTATATGTATGCAGTACTGTTCTAATTTTGTTTTAAAAATAAAAAATATTCAAGTTAGGATAATTGGATTCGGATACATAATAAAAATTTGAATAATTTTATAACTCAAATATTTGCAGAACAGATGGGTGAAATTGGGCAAAAGAATGGCATAGAAAAATAATGTTGAATATTTAAATTTTTTTTTTTCAAACTGTACTAAAGCCTTCTTTGAAGTTATTCTTCGATTATTATTAATAATATATAAATAAGCTTTATATTTCATATTAAAAATATTTTTTATTGTGTACATGGTTAATGTAATAAAAAATATATTTTCAGAACACTAAACAAAAAGAAAATCTTCTATTTTGTTACATAAGTGACTGAACATGCAAAAATTTTACATTTCTTTTCAATGTCTTTAAAATTATTATTTGAATTCAAAAATATCTAGAATTAGAGTATATTAATTTTGCATAGTGCAAAATTATATAAGAAATGTTTTGTAATTTTATTAATACTGCACAAAATCTTTATAAATCTATTTACTGTCAATTAATTGACAGAACATCTTTATAAATACCTAAAAAATAAAAGTATACTCCTTAACATCTAGATCATATTGCATGTTTGTATGTACATAAATTCCATTTTTCTCAATGAAATTCTCATTGAATTTGCTTTAACAAACACAATACATGTAATGTATGTATACAAATAGGTTTTTAATAAACAATTATAATAATTGAACTTAATTATTATACTTATTAACATAATTATTTACAATACAAACAATTATTCAGTTTTGTTTTGAAGCAAATACCTACATATATGTGTAATGAATGTATGAAGCATTTTAAAATTTAGTACCAATTAAAATATACGATGCGTTAGTGTACGAAGCATAAAATGCCATTGCATATAGTGTTAATATTATGCGTTGTGCATGAAACGCAAAATATATTACAGCGTATTTTAAAGTCGATTTTACTTATTTTATGATGTTAACGTAATTTTATGAATGCATATTGAATTTCTTGATACTTTAGTACAAAAAAAAAAATTATTTTTAAATCGTTTAAAATTTTAAAAGATTCACATCTTATAATAAAGATATAAAAAACGATGAATTTAATTTCGAATTCGTGACTTCATCTGAATAAGGAAAAATGTGTACCATTTCTGATTTTTTTTGGTCTTTTTTTCATATTCTTTTTCTTTTTTACGTACAGATGAAAATGATTATTAATGTGTGAATGACTATAGTTTTTCCTTTCTGTAGAATAATGCTATATACGTTATTATTGTATGTGTGGGTATAGTTTGTCGTAAGGTCTTTTTTTTTTGCTTTTAAAATAAATTAAATTTTCACATATATGTATGTAAAATATGTACTTAAAAAAAAATTGTAAAAAATTGCATTATAGATTGATTTATTCATTTAAAATGATTGGACAAATTATTTTGATTTATCCTTTACCTACTTTAAAAATCAATGATTAAAAATTCAAAACATTAGAATTTTTAAATTCAAAATAATTCAAATTTATTCAAATAACCAAATTAAGTAAAATTTTAATTGTTATATAAGACGAATATGTGAAATTTTAATGATTGTTGTAATTGTGATTATTACATTTGATGATTGGTATGATTTTCTAAAAGATTTCAAGGTCAAGGATTCACTTATTTTTGGCATTTTGAATTATTGCTTTTACAACTAAATGCCAACTAAATTTATTGACCATTAAATTCGTGTTCATTATTTTTTGTTCAAATGTTAAGAGCATCATATTTAAATAAATCATACATAATATACTATAGAGTTGCATTATAATTGATTGGTCTTAAAGTTGGATAGTTCAACTTTTGGTATATGCGGTTTATACATCTTGTTATACGTACTTATTGGGGTAGGGCAGAATATTCATACTTTGGTGTTACTATTGTTTTCTTTTTTTTTGTTTATATTTCGGCATATGAAATTTATTATTCAGTTTTTTTTTTATTTTTTTGCAAAATATTTTTACGGAATTTTCGTTTTTTTTTTCTCTCCATACTTAAGTGGAAATTGCTCTTTTCCCTTAATTATAATACTTTAAAATGTGTGCTAATAATATATTAACATTTCGTGCCGTCGAATATGGTATTCGTAGATCTATACATATCAGTATCAGCGTACTTATGAGTTCATTGTATATAAAATGTAAGAAAAACAATGAAATTTCATAAATTTTATTATTTTCAAAAATTTGCAAAATTTTATACTTTATAGGTAACGTATGTATAAAATGATGAAGATTTTTTTTTGATGAAGTTTTTAATTTCAATGCATTTTTAACATTTAATTCAATGCTGTACTTTTTTTTTCTGGTTCACATCAAATGCAATTTTTCTTTGCATGACAATTTTGGTGTATACTTTTCTTATTTAACCGTCATAGTCGACTGGTATGCTTTAAATTACCACTTACTTTAAATTCAAATAATTGGTCTAAATTACATTTAACTTTTTAAAGTATAATTGAGAAAAAAAATGCTTGAGAGTGGAGAAAATACCTCCTATACTTCTTTAAGCCAGACCTACTGGGGTTAAAGAAGTATGTCGGATGTTGTAAAGGGTTCCAGTACACCTATTAGGGGCCTAATTCTTACTACTACAATTATTCTACTACTTTTAATTTTGTACAGTAATTTTAAGTTTTACGTGATTTTTTCGTTTGTTTGTTCCTCAATTCAATACTGCACTAGCGCAAATTGTTGTTGCTTAATTTTGCATAATTAAATTAAAAATCTTAGTTGAGATATTTGACAACATTGGAATTATTTTCTTTATTGTTTGATATACGTACAGTAACAATGACTTACAAGATATCATTTCAGACCATAGTTATACCAAAAAAAAGTTTTCTTATAGAAGATTCTTTTAAAGTATCCAAATTTAAAATTTAATTCTTCAATTCAATTTAGTAAAGGTTAAAAAAGAACCTTATTATTTTTAGGAGTTTTTAAACTTGAAGAACATTTGAAGCTTTTTTATAATAATTGAATCACATATACATATATAAATGTATGTACGTGCTATTCCACAATACTTCAAAAATAAATTTTTATTCAAAGCGAATTTGAGCTGTTTTTCAATTTAATTTTTTTGAAATGCTAAAATTTCTGTTCTACAATATTACAATATGTTTATATTATCGAGATTTACTGATTGCAAATATTAAAAATTCCTATATATATAGATACAGATTTTAATTCAAGCTCATTTTTTCCCACAATAGAATTTACATTGTTTACACACTATTTATTATTTTAAATATTCAGCGGTTAACTATATATAGCGCTTAACTTTTATAACTATAATAACTATGAATGTAATGATGTAAATAACACATCAGTGCATATTTTAATATTTTTGATATTACTACTGGTCAGTTAATATTGTTGTATAAAAAGCTTATTTTTAAAAAATTTATAAACAATTTAGGGAAATTTCTTAAAGTGTAAATTCTATAGAAAACTTACATTTCGTGTTTATAAGAAGATCGTGTTAAAAAATAAATTATAATCAATTTATATATTTAATTGCTTTCAATTATTATTCTTATTGTAATATCCTTTTTTAATTAATACATTTATATTAATATTAAATTTTCTAATGAATCTCATTTATAACTATTATACTC